TCTGCATGGTGGTTACCGGCGTGTACGACCTCCTCCACTGGACGCCTGAGGCTCCCACTGACCGCATTCTACTGACACGCTACGCCTTCGAAGTTTAAAAGATTAACATGGCTTGAAATGACGGTGTCCTGTATGTACAAGGCAAATGGGCCACATGACACACACCCCTGCCGGCTGGCACCGCAAACCCTTCGTCCCCTCCTGAGTCCCCGGCCCTCGTCTTGGAGCTCGCGACCCCTGCGCAGGTGTCCTCAGTATGAAAAGGCCGGATTCGGGTCAGGGCTGCCACCCGAGTCTCCCGAGATGAACATGGCTCGCGGCCTCACAGCGGAGGAGCGCCTGGGCTCTGAGCCTTTCCTAGCACATCTGCCAGCCAAGGCTGCCGCTGCCACAGAAGAAAGGGGACAGTCAAGACAGTCGGCGAAGGCTGGGCCGCAGGACTTGCTTGCTCAGTCTCCAGCGAGGACCGGCTCCCAGGGAGCCCTGCCCGCAGCCCTGAGCTCATGTGGCAGCTGCTGAAGAGGACGGAAAGCAGGTGTGACACTGCCAGGCAGAAAGACAGTGACCACCCAAGGCCATCTCCTACCCAGGCCCCGACATGACCCCAATGTTCGTCTCCTGGTGCTCTAAAAAACTCCCCAGAAAAATGGGCCCAGGACTCAAGCATTCCTGCTGCAGTACCCACGCACCCAGCTGGGAGCAGGAAGGGTCTGCAGGGGCTGAGCACACCGATGGGCCAGGCCACAAGGAAGCTGGGACCACAAATGCCCAAAGAAGACAGAGATCCATCAAAAGATCGTAGCCTCCGGGCCATGGGGTGCTCAGCGAAGACCAAAGCAGGAGGGGGGTTGGGTTCTGAAGCCCCTGCCTCGTCTTGTGAAATCTTGTACAAGCACAGCCGCATGCAGTTAATTTCCAAGTGCTGTTTGTTAATCTCACTGTACGGTTACTGGCTTCTTCCCTTTGTCTATAATTTATCTAAGACGACAAAACAGTGTTTAGAAGCTACAGGTATTTAGAACCAAGCGAGGATCACTAACGACATCTGACAGGCCAGGACCCCTCCCACTTGTGACCCACAGCTCCCTCCTCACCGCAGGACGTGCCAGGCAGGAGCTAAGGGGTCGCTCAAGTTCGCGCTTCTTGGTAGAAAGAGAAACCGTTGATAACTTTGGAGAGTTACCCCTTTTGTGTAGCTGCTTTCTAAGGAACACACGCTGTCATCTGTCAGTGTCAAGGGGCTCTGGCGAGTCCCTACTTCCCATCTCTCCCCCTCCTGGAGTTCTCTGGCAGAGCTCTGAGTGGCCACCGATTGTCCAAAACAGCTTGGCCAGGAGGCCCAAGTCCATGCAAACGCGGCAGAGCTACCGTCCCCTGGTTTTGTGTTAGTTGCCCTATAGCTGCTGTGTAATTAGCGCCATTTAATGTATGTTACCAAAAATAAACATATCTACCCCAGACTAGAGGTAGTATTTTTATGGATAATTGCCTTTCCTCATACTGATATTTGTCAGTCTTGCAGAAAGTGTAGTGTTTTTTTATTAAGGAAAGTATATTTGGAAATAAAGTCAGACGAAAAAAATTTTTAAATTAATAATAAAAATGAGTGGGTGTGGTACACGCCTGTAATCCCAGCCCTGGGGAAGCTGAGGCAGGAGGATCACTTGCAAGTTCCAGGCCACGTCTGAGTTACATAGTGAGTTCAAGGCCAGCGTGAAGTATATAACAAGACCCTGTCTCAACCAACAGCAAAACTGAAACAAAAAAATTCGTAATAAAAAAGAACAAAATGGCCCTATTAAAAAAAATGGGCCCTAAATAGCCAAAACAATCTTGAAAGAAGACTAAAACTGGAAGAGTCACACTTCTGATGTCAAAACTTACTGCAAAGCTACAGTAATCAAAACAACGTGATACGGGCATCAGGACAGACAACAGAATGGGGAACCCCAAGTAAACGCTTGTCCATATGGCCAATATTCTGACCAAAGTGCAAAGACTGTGTACTTGGGGAAAGGTCAGTCTTTTAACAAGTAGTGCTGGGAATGCAATGTCCACGTGCCAAAGAACGAAGTAAGGATATCAGCGGTGTATGCAGCCCGAATCTCAGGAGACAGAAAGGTGCTTGCCGGGGCAGGGGAGGGAGAATTGCCTTTTTTTTTTTTTGTCTTTTTGAGTCAGGGTCTAGTTATGCAGTTCAGACTGGACTTGAGCTCACTTTGTAGCCCAGGCTGGTCTTGAACTCGCAATGATCCTCCTGCCTCAGCCTCCCGAGTGCTGGGATTACAGGCGTGCACCACCATGCCCGGCGAGAATTGCTTTTTAAAGGCTGTAGACTTTCAGATTTAAAAGATGAGCCGAGTTCTGGAGGTGGACGGTGGTGATGGCTGCGCACAAATAGACTTAGAAATACCAGTGAAGTGTACACTTAAAATGGTTACGGTGGTGAATTCCCATCTTCGCGGACCCGGGGGAAGTCGCGCGGATGCCCGGGGCCGCGCACCGCAGCAAGCTTACAGCGGTCCTAGGCGGACGCCCAACTGCGAAGCGGAAGCTGCGAAAGCTGCAGGAGCTGCGCAGGCGCAGGACCGCGTTGCGCCCCACCACCACCACCACCACTCCGCTGCGCCCCAGCGCCCCCTGCCGGAATACGGCGAGAAACGCGATGCGTGAGGCCTGAGGCTGGAGAGCAGAGATGCTGCAGGCTGCAAGTGTGTCAGCAGGTTATGGGTTCCTAACACTCAGCTCCACTGCTAGCGCATCTCAAGGAGTAGTGGAGACTTACTCCTACATAGACACGCGGGGGCGAGTGCTCACAGGAGCATTACTTCAATAACCGACAGATAGAAACAACCCACATGGCTGTCAGGTTGCTTCTCTGCCCGATCTTGCTCATCTTTGAGGACGGGTGCTGCACACCTGCGGTCCGCCTTCGTGTGGGGCAGCCATAGTTAGCTGGCTGCAAGATGGCTGACAGACTGACCACCACAACCTCCGGCTTCATTTTTGTTGGTGGTGGTTTGGTTTGATTTTTAGGTAAGATCTCGCTGTATAGTTCAGGCCAGCCTTGAACTCACTGTGTAGCCCAGGCTGACCTTGAATTCACAGGGATCCTCCGGCCTCAGCCTCCTGAGTGCTGGGATTACAGGTGTGTGTCACTACACCCAGCTCCAACCTCGTTATAATTCCATCTGTGTGCTAAATGGCAGCTGCCTCGCAGTCCCAGGACAGTTGACAATTGCCATGACAGTGACCAGAAAGCAAGAGGTACCCATATTCCAGAAAACCTCCACCCACCCCAAGAAAAGATGTGCACATTCCTCCCCTTTGTGAGCCCATCTTCCTCCCTCAGTTCTTTTATCTTGTCTGTGACTTTTCTCCCCCCAGTGGTAGAGAAGCTGATCTGTGAGCCATTCTTCCTGCTTTCCTGTTGGCCAAGAACAAACCTTCCTTCACTGATCAATGGAGGCTTGGTCTTGCTTGCTGGCTCTGAGACTCCAAGAGAGAAAAGGGACCCAGTTTGGGGTCAAAAATTTGTAACAAATGGGCACACACAAAACGTGCTGTGGCCCCTGCAGCAGACTGTTAGTCATTACTCAGCAAGAAATAACGTGCTGAGCCAGGCATGGAAGCTGAGGCAGGAGGATCACTGGGAATTCCAGGCCAGCCTGGGCTACATAGTGAGAGGGGCAGCTGACACAGAGCTCTCAGCTCCAGTACTCTTTCACAGCAGTTGCTCTCACACTGTAGAGCATAGCTGGTTTTTTTTTCTTTTTTACTTTTACTTGACCCAAACTTGCTGGGCAGAGCCTCTTTCTTTCTTTCTTTCTTTCTTTCTTTCTTTCTTTCTTTCTTTCTTTCTCTTCCTTCCTTCCTTCCTTCCTTCCTTTCTTTCTTTTGTTCTTTCTTTCTTTCTTTCTTTCTTTCTTTCTTTCTTTCTTTCTTTCTTCCTTCCTTCCTTCCTTTCTTCATTCCTTCCTTCCTCCCTCCCTTCCTTCCTTCCTTCCTTCCTTCCTTCCTTCCTTCCTTCCTCTCTCTTTCTTTAGGTACTGGGAATCAAACTCAGGACCTTGTGCTAGCCAGGCAGGTGCTATGCTGCTGAGCTATGTCCCCGGCCCCTCTTCCTGCCTTTAATAAATGTAAAATTTTGCTACAGTTTGCACTTGTCTTCACCATTTATGATAGCAATCAAAACTATAAGTTGCTAGGGTTAACTCATCAAGGGATGCACTGGTCCTGTATGGAGAATTTTAAAATTCTAGTGAAGTATGCACTCTACAGAAAGGAAAAGCTGAGCAGGTGGCTAAACTAAGAACATTCTAATAAACACCAGTAAGGTTTGTCTTTTTTTTTTTTTTTTTTTTTGGAGGCTCTAAACAAATGTATTCTGAAATGTATGAAACGAAAAGAATGAAGGTCTACTAATAGCCAAGTCAATCTGAGGAAGATTTTAAAGAGGAATCCTAGCCCTCCTGGATATAAATTCTGTACATATTTACAAAGCCAAGATAATTTTTCAAAAATCACAATATGGGGCTGGTACATGAACAAATGCAGACTGACTGGGAGAAGACATTTACAGCACCAGAAGCTGATGGGGCTGATTTCTAGAAACCTTGCTTTTCAGAGGGAGGTACAGGCTCAAGATAGGACCAGGGGCCTCGTGCAGTCCCCAGCGAGCTGAGTGGGCCCAGGGCCTGTCAGCTCCTCTGGCTCCCAGGGAGCAAGGCCTAAACCTCACCCCAGAGCAGCAGGGAGAGGTGCATGGAGACCCAGTTGGGGAACAGACTTAGCACGTGGGCAGATGTCAGATGGGATGTCACGGTCAGAGAGGTCAGTGGCTCATCCTGTCCATTGGGTTACAGAGGCCCAGGGCAGGTCTCTGCGTATCACCACTGTGTCACTTACTGCACACTACTCCCGCTCCCCACCTCCCCTCCCAGCCCCGCCCCAAGGGTCTGGATACAGAGGTCTCCTAGGCAGGCACCGGCCTCACTCACCCTCAGGGAGGCAGCAGAAGGGCGCAGCGTCCTGGTCCCTGGTATTGGAGGCAGACAACTGCAGCGGTGGTACCTGGCCCCTGTCCATGCTGGCCCCCTCGCCCCAGCTCTCTAGGTTCTCCAGGGGCGTGGTGAGGACGCTGTTGTCCTGAGAACCATCAGGCTGGCTGCTCACTGTCAGGGTAGAGGTGTCGCTCACCAAGAGGCTGGAGCCCACGCTCAGGGTCTCCTTGGAGCCGAGGAGAAGGGTCAAGTACGAGGATGGAGAGCTGGCTGAGTTGGGCCCGTGGGCAGCAGAGTGCAAGCCGCTGTGATCACTGGAGCCGGGGATCAGCGTCAGGCTTGAGGCCTGGATGACGGTCATGTTCAGATCGGATCTGGGATGGCCATTCGGAGTCACATTGATTGTCTCCTGGGAAGCCGCGCTCCAGGCTGCCCCAAAGGCTCCTTTCAGAACACACTCAGAGAGGCTGTGGGACACCAAAGTGACAGGCTCATTTGTGTCTGGGATTAAGGCTCCCCAAGAACCTGCAGCAATGTTCAAGCTCTGCTTGGAGACGTTGCGGCTGCCTGGGCCAAATTGCTGGCTGGAGTTAGAAGCCAGAGATGTGTCAGAGGCTGGCAGGAGCAGCGCTTGTGAGCCCAGCCTGGAGAGGCGGTGGTCCAGAGCCAGGCTTTCTCTCGAATAGAGCCTTATAAATGGGTTTGATGCAGGCCTGGAAGGATTGGAGTTACTCTGACCCAAATCAAAAGTCTTGCTCCTGGAGAGGGACAGGTAGGCCTCCTCGGAACTCTGCCTGGAGGGGTTCCTGGAGCCCAGATTGGTGGTCTCGGGAGAGTCAGGGCTGGGAGTGGGGCTTACGGCTGGAGATGGGGGCCCTTGTGGGTCCGGCCTGGAGGTGTGATTCACATCTGGGCCCATGGTTTCCACACAACAGGAAGCGGGGGTCTGGAGGGAGGATGGCGTCGTGGCCCTGCTGCTGGGGGTGTCATCGGGCACCGGACCAGGGACCTCCCCTGGCTGAGGGCTCAGAATTGGATTCAGGTCTGCAACAAGGGCCACGCCAGGACTCGGGGGCGGGTCAGAGTTGGGAGGGAGGACTGCTTCTGGGTCAGGCCCGGGGATGCTGCCAAAGCCCAGGCCTGGGCCCCCGTAGGACTGGAGACTTGGTGTCATCTGTGGGCCTTCACAGGGGATGAGATTCGCCCTGGACTCGGTGCCGGGTCTGTCGGGAGGCCTCTTGGTGTTTCTGCCCCTTCTGTCCAGGCGGCTGACTCACTGCCGTGCTCCTGGGAGAGAGATGGTAGATGCGCCCCGCCACGCAGGTACAGCCTTCGCCTCTCCCTGTCACCCATGCCAGGCCTGCTGTCCTTATTTCCAGGCTCCTCCCATCTCCTGTGAGTGTCCCCTTCTCGGACCACACCCCAGCCCCGCCTCAGGACCTGAACAGCTGCAGCACCTTGGGCTTGCAGCCTCCGCCATGCCCTCCTCCTGCCGTCCCTCTGCTCCTCAAAAGCGCCTTGTCCCTTCCCTTCGCTGGACTCCTGAGGAGCTGGCCTCCTCGAACACCCACCATGTCTTGGGCACCCTAGGCATTCCAGGTCCTGGCTCAGGGCCAGACTCCAAGTGGGAGCTGAAAGCAGGAAAACTGCGGAATCTCTTCTACTTGAAGGCAGAAAAGGGGAAGGAGGCTCCTTACAGGTTGCCTACTCCAGCTGACCGCATGTGACCGGTGACCTGTGTCCACCGGCAAGGGTCACTGCACCTCAGGAGCTTGGGCTGCTCCAGGCACAAACTCCAAAGCTGCTGGGATTAATCTGCAAATGGTCGCAGCGCTGCATCCTCAGAGCTACCTCGCAGAGCGGCCTCTAGCCCTCAGCATCTAGCCCGTTCTGCATGAGGCAGCAGATGGGGAAGAGGGTGCGGTGCCATTATCAAAAATGGAACCTGTTTGACCCAGGTGTCTGACTGCCAGGAGAGCTGCCCTGTCCCCGACATCCCCGCCCACCCCAGGGACTTGGGGCAGCTCACCTGCAATCATGGTGTTCTCAGGCAGGAGTAGGCCCCTGGGGTGAAGCAGAAGGAAGCCAAGTCAGGGAAGAATGGCCTTTTCAACTCCTCCTGAGCAGCCTGTAGGCCGGCTGTGCACAGGTGTGCACCAACTGTCGGCTCCACAGGCACGTGGGCATGGGGGCGCACACATGCACGCACACACGTACACACGAGCACACACATGCACACCAACTCCTGGAAGTCAAGTGTCATTGCCCCCTTGTTACACAGAGGTGAAGGTCAGGAGGAGAAGGTTCATCCACTCCCCTGGCTCTCGAAGCAGCCAAGACCACCGCAAGGCGCCCTCTTCCCAACCCCTCACGGCTTCCCGTGGCTTTAGGACAGAGATCCTGTATTCAAGGTGCTCTATACCCAGCTCCCATCCCGTGTGCCCTTCCTGTCCCTCTACGTGACCCTTTCCCTCTCCACTCCACTGGCTAGGCCTGGACTCCCCTAGCTGGCACCCCTTCCCCTCCCTTTCACCAGCTGATGCCCGCAGGGTCACCCTCTCCGGGGTTCAGCAACTCCTGCGCAGGTGAGGGCCACCTGTACCGTCTCAGGGCTCCTTGTTCTGGTCTCCTCCCCTGCACACACGTCTGTGGACAGTGGTTCCAGAGAGCAAGGACCCCCTGGCCAAGTCCTCCGCCAGTGTTGGGCAGAGCACGCGGCATGCAGCAAAGCTTCGGTGAACGTTTGGATTCGTGCTTCACCTCCGCTCCTTCACTCAGCGTCCATTCTCTCGCCAGCTCACGTCCTCACGGATTCCTTTCCACTCATTCGTGCACAGACGCCTGTGTGCAGTTAGTCACTGGCTCACTGCACACACTTTGCCCCGAATCTTTATACAGCACTTTGGCTTTGGAAGGATCGTCGATGTGGAGTCATGATGCAGTCCTGAGCTCAAACCTCCGCGCATCCTCATACTAGTCCGAGTGAACCTGGGGAAGGAACTTCCTGCCCTGCCCTTGCCTTCTTCCAGGGTATATATCTCGGTCTCACAGGAAGGTTGTACTTACAGTGCCCGGCATGGAGCCCTGTGCTGTCACCCCTCACCTATGTGATAGCTGCTCATTCTGTCCCACTGAGGGCGGAGTCAGGCTGGGCACCCCGTGAAAGCTGCCTTCACCCCAAGCCTGTGGCTTCCCTAGGCCTTGGGAGCAGGGAGTACGTGCCTGCCATCAGCGCCCAGGGGAGATTTTACCCTGAAGCTGATGCATCTAAGATGTCAGGGCCTCTTGATTTCACAGACCCCTGCCAAAGCCTCAGACTTAATTTCATGTTCATAGTTTCTTTTTCTTGAGCCTGGATTTTCCCTTCGTCTTGCCCTCTTCCATGCACACAGGCACATGTACACACACACACACACACACACACACACACGCACACGCACACGCACACACCATAGATGGGAAAGAGGCAACTCTCAGCCTGGAGAAGCCCGGGTGGTGCGTGCCCTGGGGCAGTGAGCGGCTCCCGGGAGCCCAGCAGTCAGGCGGGTGCACCAGTAGGGTCACTGGCAAAGCCACAGGGCTTGGGCCTGGCCCCTGCTCCTCTCCCAGGAGAAGAGCTCAGATCTCCCCTACTTCTGCTGCTCCTCCACCACTGTCTTCAGAGCTTCGGGACAGTGATGGTCACCGAGGCGTCCCCTCTGGAGAGCAGCAGGGGCTGTGGGCACTGGGCAGAACCCAAGGCACTAAGGAACTTGCTTCCTCCTGATAACCTCAAACTGCACGCTGGCAAATGCTTTGTCCCCAGCTCAAGAGCCTCAGCAGGCAGGGCAGAGCCTGGTCATCCAGCAAGTCCTCCTGTGCAGGGCTCTATCCTCTCCCCTTGAAACTCAGCGCTCTGCCCCAGGCCCTGGACACAGGGTGTTAGAGCCCCAAGAGGGTGAAGCCAGCAGCGAATCCCAGTTCCTCAGGTTAGGCCCACATGTGTCAGGCATGCCTGCCACCATAGCTGCACACACATGTGCACACAGTCTCACACAGAGCACCTCTGACCTACAGAAATCCCACCAGAAGACCTCACCAAGTTCCAGCACAATCCCGAAACACCACCTGAGCCAGGCAGAGTGTCCCCCTGCGACTCTCACTCGCTATAGCAGATTTGTGCAAATTCAGCCGACTCCAGCTGCAGGATGGCTTCCTATCTCTCCAGCCACATTGTGTCCCCCAGTCCAGCTCTTGGTGTCTCCGGCTGACCTGGGAATCATCTCAGAAGTAGGGGTTCCTGAGTCTAGGCCAGTTCCTAACAAACCATTTCCAAAGGGAGCCTCTAAGACCTTCCTTTAAAAGCCCATGAAGCCAGGTCTAGTGGCTCACATCGTAATCCCAACACTCTAGGAGACTGAGGCAGGAGGGTCACAAATTCAAGGGTGTCCTGGGCAGTTTAGTGATTTAGCAAGCCTTGTCTCAAAGAATATAAAAAGGCTGGGGTGGTAGCTCAGTGGTAGAGTGCCGTTGGGTTCATTCCCCACTACTACAAAAACAAACAAAAGTAGATTAAAGAGCCACGTGAAGTGCCCTATGCTTGTAATCCCAACTATTTGGGAGGCTGAGGCAGGATGATCACAAATTCAAGGCCAACCTGAGTAATTTAGCACTACTGTAGTTAAAAGAAGGAGAAGGAGAAGGAGAAGGAGAAGGAGAAGGAGAAGGAGAAAGCTAGGTGTGGTGGAGCACAACTGAAATCCCAGTACTTGGGAGGCTGAGGCAGGAAGATTATTGCAAGTATGAGGCCCACCTGGGCTATTTAATCAGATCTGTCTCAAAAAACAAGCAAACAACAAAAAGTATTGGGCAAGTAGGGCTGGGATGAGCTCCATTGCACACCTGTCTAACACCTGATCCACAGCCCTGAAGAAAAAGTTAGGCAGCAACTTGGACAAACATGGCTGCGAAGAAGATACATAGTGGACAGTAAGCCCATGAAAATGAGCTCAAGGTCATTAATCATTAGAGAAATGTAAATCAAGACCACAGTGAATGTTATTTCACACCCACGAAGATGGCTCGCAGTTTTTAAATGGATATAACAAGTGTTGGTGAGGGAGTGTCGAAGCCAGAAGCTTTCTGAGTCACTGGTGGGAACAGAAAGTCTGCACAGCCTCTGCAAACCAGCCCCGGGAAGACAGGGCTGAGCGAACCACCCCACCCAGAGACCATGGGTGGCCCAGCAGGTCCCTTCTGATGGCGCAGGGGTGGAAAGATGAGAAAGCCAGCTGATCTCCTTTTTTTTCTTTCTGTCTCCACAAGTGGCAAAGGTGGGATTCAAACCGAGGTCCTCTCAGCCCAGTTTTCCCCGCAACACCCCAGATTCCCAAGTCGTGATTTGTGCAGTGAGACCACATCTTCCAGCTTCTCATGCAGCATTCCCCCCGCCGCTCCTGGGTCCCCACCTAGGGAAAAGTGTGATGAAACCCAGGCAACGCCCCCGAGTCCCAGCTCCGAAAAAGAGTCTGACAGACCTGAGCTGGACACCTGCTCTGCCTCACCAGCCCGGGGGCTTGGGCAGGTGGACTCCCCAGTCTCTTTTTTATTTTTGTGACAGGGTCTCAATTTGTAGTTCAAGCTGGCCTCAAATTCATGGCAACCTCAGCCTCCAGGTGCTAGGATAACAGGCATGCACAGCAAAGCCTGCCAGCCTTGCCAGTCTTAACAGGGCACAGGAAGGATGATCACAGTGCCTGACCCACAGTGGGCTCCTGACCAGTGTCTACGTCACCCCTTCCTCCCCTGGGTGGGGTCAGGTAGGTATGCTGGAGAAAAGGGAAAGGTCTGATCTCCAGGTCCCCTCCCTTCTCCTCACGGAGCATTCCCAGCCCTTTAAAAAAGACTTTTTTTTTTGAGATAGGGTCTTGCTAAGTCACTAAATTGCCCAGGCTAGGCTCAATCCTCCTGGCAGTCCTCCTGCCTCAGCCTCCCAGCCTGCTGGAATGACAGGTGTGTGCCACCGCACCCAGCCTCCGCTCCCTGGGTCTTCCCTCTCTCTTCCCTCTCAGCTCCCCCTACTCCCACTGGACAGTCTCAGGACTGTGACTCTCTTTGAACCTTGAATTGCTGGTGTCAAGTTCAGTGGGTTACCCACACCTGGGGCATCCACATGGCAACAGAAAATTCAGCTCTAAGTCAAAGATAAGACGCTCTAACTGGAATTACAGCAGAGGGGAGACTCTTCCCATGGGGGTGGGGTCAAGGTGGTACCCGCCTAGCAGAGGCTGACCCCACCCCTGGAAATTGCCCACACAGCCCCTCAGCTTACCTTGGCTCCCCGAAGCCTGGGAGGGAGTTGCGTTCTTTGTGAGGTCACTGGCATCTGGAAGTCCCCCAGCCAATAAGGCCCCTGCTCCTGCCTACACAGCAGGGACAGTCAGTCCCAGCACTCTTGGGGGCTGAGGCAGGAGAATCGCAAGTTTGAGACCAGCTTAGATAACTTATTTAGACCTTGTCTTAAAACCCTAAATAAAATAAAAAGTGCTCGGGCTGTAGCGGAGTATAAACACCCTGAGTTCCATTCCCAGCACCACACATAAAAGCTTACATTTTAAAAAGTTCTCTGTTCAGACCTCCCCCACCCTGCCGGGAAGGACCCTCACTGATTTAAAGGCCGAGATGCTGGCCTGGCCCATAAGATGCCCATCAGAGCCACTCGCCGTGCCACCTCGAACCTCTGTGGATCAGGGCTGATGAGGGCTTCCGAACTAGGCTGTCTGGGATGAGGAAACTGAGACCCATAGAAAGAAAACACTGGCCCAGTGTCACAAACTAGGACACCTGTCTGTCCACCAAGGCCTTGATCTTTCCCCTACCCCACCCTCATCCTCTGGCGGGTACAGATAACCGCGTGGGCGCGGCAGAAGGAGGGCAGGGCCAGGGCAGAGAGACCTTAGGACAAAGCAAGGAGGACCCTGTGGCTACCTGTCTAAAGGACATCATTCACTTATTTACTTATTTATTTATTTATTCTTTGTGAGACAGGGTCTCGCTCTGCAGTTCAGGCTGGCCTTGAGCTCACTTTGTGGCCCAGGCTGGTCTCGAACTTGCAACGATCCTCCTGCCTCAGCCTCCCAAGCAATGGGATTACAGGCGTGTGTCACAGTGCCCAGTTTAGGACATGTTTTTAAGAATGATCAATAACTAAGATAATTAAGATGATAGTGACTGGAGAGAACTTCAGAGGCACCACATACAAAATGAGAGAGGGGGAGCCAGGTGTGGTGGTCCACCCCTGTAATCCCAGCACTCCGGGAGGCTGAGGTAGGAGGATTGCAGCGAGTTCAAGGCCAGCCTGGGCTACATAGCAAGACCATGTCTCAAAAAACCAAAAATAAGGGGGCTAGGGATTTAGCTCAGTGGCACAGCGCCTGCCTGGCAAGCGTGAGGTCATGAGTTTGATTCCCGGTACCGGAAAAAAATGAATAAATAAGTACATTTTAAAAGTAACAAGAGAGGGTCTGTCCACCACATGGATTCCCATCTTGAGCCAGCTCAGCACACCTTAGGGTATTCCTTGAGATGACACACTGCCCAGAAATCGTCCCTGGCAGCCCCAACCCCTTCCCTGAGCATCTATCGTTGCTCAAGGGGGACCTTGAGGGAGCAGTGGGCTGTAGGAAGCCCCTGGATCCACCCCCAGCCATACATCTGGCAGGCCTCACCTGCCACCTTCCCCTGCTCCTGGTCTCTCCGACACTGCACTGCACCCCCTGCTGCCTCCTCAGGGGCCGGGGCAGCCACCACCCCACCCCCACGCCCCTGGCCCCATCCTCTCTGTCCTGCACGTGTCCTCCCCTCAAACCTACTTCATCCCCAACCGCCCAGCACTCACTCCGTACCAAGGTATGTCTTGGTTACTTTTCTCTCGTTGCTGGGACAAAATACCTGACACCCAAAGTTAAGGAAGGAAAGGTTTATTTTGCTTACAGTTTGTGGAGATTTTAGTCCATACCCTGCTGGTTACAAGGCAGAGTGGCACATGGCAGAAAGCTACAGCTCATGTCGGCAGAACAGAGCAAAGCAACAAGCACTCACAAGGGAGGAAATGGCCAGAAGCACCCTCTTGCTCTCCCTTACATAGGCAGACTATCCACCCCAGGGCGGGTGTAGCTCTCACACCCATAATCAATCACACTCTAAAAGCCTGCCCCACGACCACATGAGGCTTTGGGGGGACACCCAGACACAAACCATAACAAGGTACTTAACCAAGTCCTTCCAAGTTCACCTCAGACCAGGCCTGCCCTTACGGTCCCACACCCGCATCCAGCCCCAGTCCTTGTCTCCGTCTTAGTCACTGTTCTGCACTGCATGCCAGAGCACACGGCCTCTCCTCCCGCTGCCTGTCTGCCTGCCCCGGCAGCCAGGGCTCCATGGCCTCTCACCCCGTGAGGTCTTCGCTGCCAACTTCAGGGCCACGGCCCTGGCACTGGGGCAGCAGGGAGGCCTCGCCTGCACCCCACCTGGGCTCTGCGCTCCTCAAGCAGAGCATCGCACGTCCCTTGCCTAACGTGGTGAGCCCTCACCCAGGAGCCCATGCATCCTGCTCTGGAAATACAGCATCTCTGCACCCCAGGTCTGAGAAGCCCTTGCTTTGTCCCTTTTCCCCTTCCTTCACCGTCCCCACTGAGGGCAACCACCACCCCCACTTTCCACACCATCATTTACACAGTTTGCTTTTTTTAAGTCAAGTTCTCACTACATAGTTCAGGCTAGCCTTGAATCTCTGTATAGCCAAGGCTGGCCTCAAACTCAGCCTCCTGAGTGCTGGGTTTACACATGTGAGTCACTACACCTAGTTTACACATGGCCGGTTTTGTACTGTGAATAAATGAAATTACACAGCACATATTCTTGGTTTGGTTTGGTTTGGTTTGGTTTGGTCTGTTCTGCTCTGGTCTGGTCTGGTCTGGTTTGGTCTGGTCTGGTTTGAGATAGTCTTGCTATGTTTCCAGGCTGGTCCTAAACTCACTATGTAGCCCAGGCTGGGTGAACTCCTGGTGATCCTCCAGCCTCAGCCTCCCAGAGTGATAGGATTACAGGTATGTGCAACCATGCCTGGCTGTGCAGCTCATACGCAGGCATATCTCAACTTTTTTTGGTTCAGTACTGGGTTTGTGAGATTTGATAATGTTGTGCCTTGTTGGGCCTTGTGGCGCACACCTGTAATCCTGGCACTTGAGAGGCTGAGGCAGAAGGATCACTGTGAGTTCAAGGCCAGCCTGGGCAACATTGTGAGACCCTGTCTCAATAAATAAATAAACAAACAAACACAAAAACAAATAAATAAATAAATAAGCAAGCTCTGAGCCTGCCAACGCTTCCTGCTTCCGACCCTGGCTCACCTCACCTTCCCTCAGCCCATGGTTCCCACAGCCAGCAGTGCTAGTTTCTGTTTTCTCCATGGATCAGCACCATCTCTGAGCTGAGTGGTTTTTTGGTTTTTTTTGTGTTTTTTTTTTCCCCAGTACCAGGAATCGAAGTCACCACCTTGCGCTTGCCAGGCAGGCACTGTGCTGCTGAGCTAAATCCCCAGCCTTCTGAGCTGAGTGTTGATCTGGGAGGAGGCCTTGCCATTACCAGAAGCAGAGCATCTCCTTTTCCATTCTCAGTTTTCCCACTTTTCCGACTTTCTTTTGGGTTGCTGGATTTGTCTTCTCCTTCGCCTTCCCACTTGTTTTGAGGCTACATATTGTCTATTCATTAGGGGTCCTGTAACCACTTGAACATTCACACTTCAAGTAGCAAAGTCCAAAATTAATACTGTTAGCCACCTTCAGAAAATAAGCAAAGAGAAAAAAACACAAGAAGCCAGGTGTAGTAGCTCTTGCTTGTAATCCCAGCACTCAGGAGGCTGAGGCAGGAGGATCACCATGAGTTTGAGGCCAGCCTGGGCTATATAGTGAGTTTGAGGCCAGCCTGAACTGCATAATGAGACCTTGTCTAAAAAAAAAAAAGAAAAACAAGAACCATTTGGTAGTGGGGTGTGATGTTGCACACCTGTAATCCCAGCAGTCTGTGAGGCTGAGGCAAAAGGATTACAAATTCAAACCCAGCCTGGGCAATTTAGCATGATCCTGTCTCAAATTACAAGTTAAAAAATGAGCTGCAAAAAGCCAAGCATGTAACCCCAGCACTTGGGAGGCTGAGGCGCACACCTGTAACCCCAGCACTTGGGAGGCTGAGGCAGGAGGATTATCGCGAGTTCGAGGCCAGCCTGTGCTACAAAGTGAGCTCAAGGCCAGCCTGAACTGCATAGGGAGACCCTGTCTCAAAAAAGAACAAAAATAGGTGGGTGGTTAGGAACTTAATTTAGTGCAAAAGCCCCTGGCTTCAATGAGATAAAGATGTGATATACTTTATAGGGAATTAATAAATAATATGTTTTATTATTATTAATTAATGGAAGAAAAAGTGCAAACCAGACCAGGGATCAGACTCATTGTGCCCTAATTCCTCACTAATTAGCCACCAAGTGCCTCTCCAGGTTTCTCTCCAAGCTGCAGTCCCTGAGGCCATCCATTACATTTAAACTGCACAGTCCTGGAGTAGGAGTGGTCCCTAACTTGCATCCCATCCTGGATGCCCCTGAGAGTGTGACCCAACCCCATGCCCAGGGCTCCTTGATCCCAGGGGCGACCTACAAAAACCCAGGCTGCCTGCCAGGACTCTCAGGGCTTTATGTATGTATGTATGTATGTATGTATTTATTTTTGAGACAGGGTCTCAATGTGTAGTTCAGGCTGGACTTATACTCACTATATAGTCCAGGCTAACCTCAAACTCATGGTGATCCTCCTGCCTCAGCCTCCCGAGTGCTGGGATTACAGGCATGCGCCACCACGCCCAGCACGCCTGGCTTTTTGAAACAGGGTCTTACTCTGTAACTCAGGCTGGCCTTGAATTCACTATGTAGCCCAAGCTGGGCTTGAATTGTTGCAATCCTCCTGGCCTAGCCTCTCAAGTGCTGGAATTACAAGTGTGCACTACCACTCCCAGCTCTATTTTTGGTTTTCTGAGACAGGGTCTATATATTTCCTGAGACAGGGTCTATATACACTATGTAGCACAGCAGAACTCACAGGGATACTGGCGTGGTGGTACATACCTGTAATCCCAGCACTGGGGAGGCTGAGGCAGGAGGATCGTTGTGAGTTCGAGACCAGCCTGGGCTACAAAGTGAGCTCAAGACCAGCCTGAACTGCAGAGCCAGACCCTGTCTCAAAAAGACAAAAAAAAGAACTCACAGTGATCCTCCTGCCTCAGCCTCTGGGATTACAGGTGTGTACCACCACACCCCCGGCTCAAGACTCTGGGTTTCAGTCCCAGTCCAATCTACTTACTTACTTACTTACTTATTTATTTATTTATTTATCTTTTTGAGACAGGGTCTCGCTATGCAGTTCAGGCTGACCTTGAGCTCACTTTGTAGCCCAGGCTGGTCTCGAACTTGCAACGATCCTCCTGCCTCCGCCTCCCGAGTGCTGGGATTACTGGAGTGTGCTACCATGCCCAGCTCCCCAGTCTAATCTATCAACCAGGATCTTAGATAGAAGGAAAATTCACGTCCCTGGGGCAGATCTAATCTGTCCTTCTCGCCAACCCTTGCCTGCCCCGGAGATACCCTGGGCGTGGGGCAGAAAGGGCTCGAGTTAGAAGAGTGAGGGACAACAGCAATCACCCAGTGCTCAAAGGTCATTTTGGGGATGGCAGGATTTTCTGCTTGACCTGCTGAGATGCAGAGAGGGTGTGGGAGGAGGCGGGACTTCGGGAGCTGTCTCCACTCAGGGGCAGGGGTGACCCAGCACTACAAAGCTGGCAGGGCTGGGGAAGGGTTAGATGCCGCCTGGGCTCCCACCAGCCCTGATTCCGGGCTCAGGGAACCTCAGGGACTCCGGGCTGGCAATTCTGCAGAGAGAGCCATCATGGGCTGCCAGAAGCAATGCCGGGACAGGCCGACCCAGTGTGCCCTGGCTAGCGGAGTTATCGTGACTCTGGCATTGACTGTCTGCATGGCCCTCGCCTTGACACTGAACTGGGACCCCCAGTCAGGTAGGTGCCCCCACCCATGCATCCTGACCAGCCTGACTTGCCTCTTCCCTACCCCAAGCCTTTGGAGGCTTCCCCCCAGGGCAAGGGTCCTTGGCTTTCTTTCTCCTTTTGGTTACCTGGAGACCAGCCCTCTGTGCCCTGGATGGGCACTCCTTGGGATCTCGCCTGTGCCTTCCATTTACGCAGGGCCCCTCCATCCTTCTGCCTCCTGGGGCCTGGAGGCTGCATCCCGCATTGCCGGCCTTCCTGGGGACTCGAGTTCCCTGGTCCCTGCTCCTGCACTCCTCCTCCCCTCCTCCCCGGCCTTCCACTCCTCACGTCCCTTGCCCTCACCCTACCTGCTCTTTCCGGCCCATGTTGCTCTGCAGCCGGCGCTAGCAACACCCACTGTGCTCGCAGCACTTGTTCAGCCCCTGCCACCGCACAAGGCCGTGGACCTCTGAGCCCGGCCATCTTTCCCGTCTGCTCTAACCCATTTCTCTGTGTTCCATCTGCACCAGGCCATTTCCTCTTCCCACACTGAGGATGGAGCCAGGGCCTCACACATGCTAGGCCTGTGCTCTACCTCTGAGCCCCGCCCCAGCCCACCCACACTCTTTCACCTAGGCAGGTCCTTCTGCCTGAAATCACCTACTCCCTCTCTTCAGCAGATGCTCACCCTCCCTTCAAGAGCTCCCTAAAATGCCCCTTCTGAGTGAGCGCCTGCTTTCCCGAGCGCACTGGGCCAGCGCTCTCTGTCCCTCCCTGTGCCGCTGGGGCCCCGGTCCTGCTGTCACTCTGCCTGTGTGCTGGATGCTTGGTGGGACCCAGGGAAGGAGGGGTGGAGGGACAGGGAAAGAGCCTGGGCTGGGCCAAGGCCGGTGCTGACAGCCCTCGGGCGTTCGTTCCAGGCTGCCAGGGGGACGTCTGCCGCCCCGAAGGGGACATGCTGGGCTACCTGCTGAGCCTCGGCCAGATCAGCAGCCCAGACGGCCTGCTGGTCACCTGGAGCCATGGGGCCAACAGCCAGGATAAGATGGAGGAGGGCCTGAGCAGTAAGTCCCCTCTGAGGGGAGGCCGGGTGAGGAGAGGGCAGTGGGCGGAGGCGTGGGCAGACGCGGTAGCCCCTGCCGCAAGGTGGCAGCGTTTTGCATGTGCTCCTCACACTGCCCCTGAGGAAGTGGCCAGGGGCTTAGGGCTCCAGCTCAGCCTGTGGCGATGACTGAGCTCAGATTTGGGCCGGATGTCTGATGCCAGAGCCGCTCCTGTGCTGCCCTGGCCAGCCACTCACCGCCTATGCTGTGGCGCCCTTTGCCCTAAAGGACAAAGGAAGCCAGAGACTGGAGCTTGAGGCCCGGTGGTGCTAAAACGAACTGTGAACAACGGAGCCTGTGTGCTGCCTGCCTCGTGTGCAGAATGATCACGGCAGCCAGGGGCCACCGCCCACCGGATGGGACACCCCCACCTTACACGCGGGCCCTGCGGGGACCGCACACCTCGGCGCAGTGGCTGACTTCCCCTCTCTGAGCCCTGCACTGCCCAGTCCCCAGGCAATGGGGACACGCCTGTCCTTCAGGACAGTTGGGAAGCAAGCGCCAGTCAGCTTGCAGGTACAGACTATGAAGGGAATGGGCCCCAAATGTGAGCTTCAGGAGACGTGGGTGCTGGCCCACCCCCGGGTCCACAGTCCTGGTTCTGGGTGGGTCTGCAGCTTTACATTTGTAACAAGTTACCTGGCGACCTTGATGCTGCTGGCCCCAGGAGCCCCCTTTGAGAGCCACTGCTCTGGAACAATCTCTGGGTCTCAGAGGAAAGAGCTGGGACCCAGACTGGGGAGGGTCTTTTGTCCAACGCCACACCTTAGGCCTGAAGCACGGGAGGCCTGGGCTCAGACGCAGCTTCTGTTCTGGGGCAGCACCTAGGGGGGCGCGGGGCAGTGCCTGGTAGCTGGAGGGGACTTTCCTAGACGTTGCTGGGCCTGGGCATTAGGACCAGGCCAGGAAGAAAGGATTCTTCCCTGGGCAGCTGTGGCCTTCAGGACAAAAGGCCTTGCCGCCCTCTGCTTCCCCCAGCTCAGCCCAGCAAGGAATGATCAGGGTCCCCAAGCCAGGACCTCGGGTGGGCATGAAGCCACAGGCCCCACCAGGCAGCACCCAGCAGCAAGGGCCACGATAGCCACGCTTAGCATAACTGCCGGCTGCAGAGAGGACTCCAGGCACTGCTTTCTCCCCCGAGGGCTTTGTGGGGTCCAGGCAGCCCCTGGGAGGATGAACCTGGATGTGTAGCCAGCAGGGCCTGGAAACAGGCACGCAGAACTGGGTTTGGATGTTTCTGGGGCCACCTAGCAGCCAGCAGAGTGACTTAGGACAAGTGACTTCAGGGTGCAGCTCAGTTTTCACCTCTAAAGTGTGGGCTGGCGTGTATCATCCAAACCAGGCCGTTTGGTCCTGAAAGGTCTACTAATAACCATGCTGAGACAACAGAACTACACCTGCTGATCCAGGTTTCCTAGGCAAGCGAGCTACTCCATGCGGTAACTTTCATACTTGGTGAATGCCTAACCAGGGATTTGTCTTGGTTTGGTTTTTTTTTTGGTTGTTTTTTTTTTTTTTTTTTTGAGACAGGGTTTCACTATGTAATTCAGGCTGGCCATGAACTCACTATGTAGCCCAGGCTTGTCTGAACTCATGATGATCCTCCAGCCTCAGCCTCCTGAGTGTTGAGATTGCACCATCACAGCCAGTTTAACCAGCCATATTTTGTTACTTGCATCTGGTAAGTGAAGTACCATGGCACAGAGAGGGCAAGTAATCTGCCCCAGGTCACACAGCTTCCAAGCATGAGTATTGGGCTAGAAGCCAGTGGTGTGGACTTGGGTCTGTGCACTCACCCACCGAATACAAAAACCTGGCACATAGAGGGCATCAGAATCCAGCGTACCCCTCATCTCTCACTTCCCTCCCCCTCCCTCCCTCAAGCAAATCAGCCCAAATCTGGCCTCTGGGAGGCACATAACAACTTTCAATGTGGAGGGAGATTTCCCAAGTGCGGAGAACACTGGCAGGTGTCACCATGTCATGTGTAATTTGAAGAAGCCAATGCAAAACTCAGCTGCCTCTGCCCCCAGAAATCCAGAAACCTGGGGATTTTGTTGTTTCGTTTTTGGTACTGGGGATTGACCCTAGGACCATCCCACTGAACTACATCCCAAGCCCTTTGTGTTTTGTATTTTGAGACAGGGTCACTAAATTGCCCAGGTTGGGCTCAGACTTTCCACCTCGTTCCTCAGCCTCCCTGAGTGCTGGAGATCTAGGTGTGCTCCATGAGCCCTGCCTTGCCAACCACTTGAAAGCTCCCCCTTCCAACACACACACACTGTCTGCAGTAGGAATTCAGTCACTTCTGACCTCTCATGAGCAGGAGGGCTGCACCAAGAGAGGCAGCGGGGCCTCTGTCCTGCTGCTCACAGCCTGCCCTCCAACACTTCCTTGGGAATTGCTGTGAAGCCGAGCGGCTGGGGCCCAGGGAGCAAGGGAGCTGGACCCAGGGGGAGGCTGGGAACTCAAGACCTGGCACACAGACCATGGATCATAGGGAGGAGCTCGGGCTTGAGTCGCAGGGCCGTGGGTTTTCGTTTTTTAACAGGAAGTGGCAGAGTCGGATGTGTTTCAAACACCGACTCTGGTATGGAAAGTAACTCCCAACCTGCTAGATGTGTCGAGTCTCACAACATCTAGGAGTGAAGGCAAAAACCAAAGGAGAAATTAGAGTTTTATTGGAAATAAAGAGAATTTCCAGGGGGGTTGTGGGTGGGGAGCCACCATGGCCCTTTATCAGGGGTAATTTTTTTTTTTTTTTTGGTATTTTTATTTTTATTTTTTTAATTTATTTTTTTGTCTTTTAGAGTCAGGGTCTCCCCATACAGTTTAGACTGGCCTTGAGCACACTTTGTAACCCAGGCTGACCTCAAACTCACAGCAATCCTCCTGCCTCAGCCTCTGAAGTGCTGGAATTACAGGCATGCACCACCATGCCCAGCTAGGGGTAATTTATTTTTTTGAGATAGGGTCTCACTATGTAGTTCAGGCTGGCCTTGAACTCACTCTGTAGCCCAGGTGATTCTTCTGCCTCAGCCTCCCAAGTGCTGGGATTACAGGCATGGGCCACCATGCCCGGCTCTCTGCCTTGCTCTTTTGTGCTGACTTCCTTCGGGGCCCAGTCCCTTTCTGACTGCACTGATTCATATAGTTTAGCTGTCTATCACAGCTCCAGGGGCTTTGCAGAGATGGGAGGGTGCAGTGCAAGAGGGGAAAACACTGCCTGATTGAGTTAACTTGGAGTTTAAGTGATAAGCAGTGCCCTTTGGTAGAGATAGGGTGAGTTGGGCCATCTTGTATACCCTGGCTGAGACCGTGAATCAGTGTCTTGTCTGGAAAGAAATTTGGGGAAGGAGCTTTGACATCATCCCATTTTGCCCCTTCTCAAATTCCACAAAGAGGGATCAGAAACTAAGAAAATCAGAATAAAACATACATCATTATTTCTTAGTTGCAAGAAACTAGGAAGTACCAAAACTATCTCAGAGATGGGACATGGCTGACCCTCTATTGAGTTTTGTTTTGTTTTGTTTTTGTCTTGTTGAGACAGGGTCTCGCTGTGCAGTTCAGGCTGGCGTTGAGCTCACTTTGTAGCCCAGGCTGGTCTCGAACTCCCAATGATCCTCCTGCCTCAGCCTCCTGAGTGCTGGGATTACAGATGTGCACCACCACGCCCAGCATCTATCGAGTTTTCAGGATGGGTTTTTTGGTTTTTGGTTTTTGGTTTTTTTTTTTGAGACAGGATCTCACTATGTGAATCTTCTGCTTTGGGGCTGAGGATTTAGCTCAGCGGCACAGAGCCTGCCTGGCAAGCATGAGGTTGTGAGTTCAATTCCCGGTACTGGAAAAAAAAAAAAAAAAACAAATCTCTTCAGCTTCAGCATCTCAAGTGCTGAGATTACACCACACTTGGCTCTGTAACAGACAATGTTTTTGATAAGAAAAAAAATTTTGGCTTTTTGCAACAGGATCTTGCTATGTAGCTCAGACTGGCTTTGAACCTTGAGCTCACTATGTAGCCCAGGCTGGCCTCAAACTCATGGCAATCCTGCCTCTGCCTCCCAAATGGTGGGATTACAGGAGTGAATCGCCACACAAGGCTGAAAAATTATTTTACAAAACGAAGCACTTAAGTGTTCCCTCCTCAACAGGCGACTCCATGGTCCTGGAGGCGGATGTCAATATAGAAGGGCTCAACACAGCCAATGAGACAGGCGTCCCCATCATGGCCCACCCGCCCGCCATCTACAGTGACAACACCCTGCAGCACTGGCTGGACACCGTGCTGTCCCGCTCCCAGAAGGGTAAGGGCCTCCCGGGACCACAGGTCCTGCCACGTAGGGAGCACATGTTCAGCCTCTGTCTCAGCTGAGACAGTGGGCGTGCACAGGGATCCACAGACCAGATACAACAGGCTGAAAGCCGAATTCCACCCTGCACCCTCGGACCCACTGCCAGTTATAGCAGGATATGGGCACCATCCTAACTCCTTTCTCTCCCTCAGGGGCTGGGCGCCAAACCAGAGCTTCATGAACACGAGGCAAGAGCCCTACCACTGAGCCACATCCCCAGCCATCTATCTGTCTAGCGAGCTAGCTTATCTACCAGTGCAAGACCGAGGACTGATCCCAGCGGCACTGTACCACGGCTATATCCCGCCCTTTTTATTTGTCCTGGTGGGACTCAAATTTGCAACCCTTCCGCCTCAGCCTCCCAAGTACCAAGTGCTGAAATTGCAGGCCTGGGCCATATCTGCTAACTGTAAGCCCAGTTCTGGCCACATCATCGCTCCCAGAACTCCTTCTTCACTCAGCTCTGGTCTTCCTTGACTACGAGGACGCACACTTGAGTGTCTACGAGTACCTCACCTTCTTGGCCTGGCTTAGATGATTTTTCTATAACGTCCTGGCCTCATCCCCTCACTACCGGGGTGGGCATCCATTTGTGCTGGCTGCTGTCCCCGCCTGCAGTGCTCTCTGCTCTCTTCCTGGAGGCCAAGGGACCTCCTTTGGGGCTCTGCTGTCTCAGGTCCCTCTGAGCCCACCCCGCCCAGGAACCATGTCCCCTTCCTCAGCTGCTTTGCTTCTGCCCACAGGGATGACACTTCCTGCCCTTCCGGGCTGGCTCTGTGGTACAGCAGCCGTCCTCAGCCTGCCAGGACCTAGGCCCTGCCTTCCCACCTTGCTTCCCCACCACACACACACCCATCTCCCCCTGCCCTGGGGAGCTTCTGCTTCCCAGCCGGCTCAAGCACTCGCCTCCTCTCCACAGGCATCAAACTGGACTTCAAGAGCCTCAAGTCTGTGGGCCCCTCACTGGACCTCCTTCGGCAGCTGACGGATGCCGGCAGGGTGCAGAGGCCCGTGTGGATCAATGCGGACATCTTGCGCGGCCCCAACAACGCCATCTCAATTCCGGTCAACGCCACGCAGTGAGTGTTCCGCTCTCCGGGAGGAAGGGGACCCTAAGAGAACTCTGTGGAGTTTGCTTCCGGTTTCACCACTGAGCCTTTGCATGTTTCCTCAGCTTAAGACCTCTTCTTTTTTTTTTTTTTTTGAGACAGGGTCTGTCTCACTATGCATTGCAGGCTGCCCCTGAACTCACTATGTAGCCCTGGCTGGCCTCAAACTCATGGTGATCCTCCTGGCTCAGCCTCCCCAGTGCTGGGATTACAAGCGTGCACCACCACCCGGCCATTCTCCTTTTCTGACAGGCTTCAGCCCAGTCACTGCTGCCCTCAAACATCCCCGGCACCCTGGGATATGGAGGGACTTCCTGTGGGCCACTCAAACCCCCAACTTCCTAACAGCCCTGATTCTGCTGGGCAGTCACCCTTGGCTTGCAGGTGTGCCACCCCGGCTACATGGGGTCTCCTGGATGCCAGGCAGGGCCAAGTCCTCCCTGCTCCCCGCCGACAAGCACAGGACTCGGTTTTCTAGAAAAGTCAAAAGCCTGACTCCCACCACCCTCCTGGAAGTGCAGCCCTGCCCCTCCACGTGGATCCGCATCCACGAAGGGTTAAGGAGCAGTGCGCACAATGCGATCCTTTCCAGGTTTGGCACTGCCAGGTTAGGAGTGGCTTCTCCTCCCCATTTTGTAGATGCGAAAAGCTCACAGGAACTGAGGCGCGATTTGCCGAATGTTTATTATGTGTCCCCAGCACAGCTGTAAGCACTTAGCTGCAGAATACCGTTAAGTCTTACACGGAGAACAAGGTAGGTACTATGCTCTCCATGTCCGCAGTACAGGAGCCATCCGACAGAAGTTGCACAGCCTGCCCACGCCTAAACGTGGCAAAGATTCAAACAAGGCCTTTCGCTGCTAAGCTGGGCGCTCTTTGACCCTCCGTCTCACTCACTCCGTCTCACTCACCCACCCATCTGTCCGCGTAGCCAGTGCCCGAGATAAATACGGCCTGCCTCTTGCAGGGTTAATGTTCTCCTTCCCCTCACCGGGGAGGGGGTCCAGGCAGCCCTGTCTGCCTATTAAGATTTGCATCGGGGATAAACTTTTTTTAAAATGACACTTAGAGGCAGAGTACCCCATGGGGCTCCAGTCCAGCCTCCTCCATCTGTGTGGGGATGTTTTAAGAAGCCCTGTCCTTCCAGAAGGGATGCTGGGTTAGAATCTACCCAAAGCCAGAGTCCGGACCTGGACTTTGCTTTGACTCTGGTCCCTTTGTGTGTGGGACCATGAGCAGCCCTTCCGTGTGTAGGGCTTTGCTGCCCCGCTTCTATCACACGTCCCACAGACCCTGGCCGCTCCTTCTACTCCGAACGTCCAGGAAGGAAGGAGGGAGAGAGGGAGGGAGGAGGGACTAGTGGGCTCTCTGTGCCAGTGTCTGCTGCTCTGCAGGTTCCTGGCTCTGGTGCAGGAGAAGTATCCCAGGACCACCCTGTCCGTGGGCTGGACCACTCTTTATGCACCCCCGCTCTTCACCAGCCCTTACACCCAGGCCATGTTGGAGGAGATGCAGGCACTGGTGGAGGCAGTGCCACAGAAGGTCACCTTCCCTGTGCGGGCTGTCATGGTGCGGGCGGCCTGGCCCCACTTCAGCTGGCTGCTGGACCAATCTGACAGGTAAAAACCCGGAGGCTCCCATCACAGCCCCTGCTGGCTCCAAACCCACACCTAGGCTCTGATTCCCATAGCTAGAAGGGCCCTAAATAGCACCCTCACCCCTTCTCCCCCCCCATGCCTTTGCTCTTCTGGCTCTTCTGTGTCCCTCTCCTGAGACAGGACTGAGGAGCAGATGCGCCACTTAGGCAGCCCCAGGGCCCAGGGAGAGGGCTGGTGGGAAGCTGGAGGGCAGACCTCCACCTGAGCCTGGCCCGGTCCTGTCCTGAGCACAGGTGTGGGTCCAGGGGCCTTTCCATCCCAGGAAGGAGCTAAGCCAGCTCTCTGAACCCAGGTACACCCTGACACTATGGCAGGGCACCACGGACTCCGTGTCAGTGGATGACCTCCTCTACATCCGGGACAACACAGAGACCCACCGAGTCTACTACGACCTCTTCGAGCCTGTCCTGTCGCAGTTCAAGCAGCTGGCTTGTAAGGAGGGAGCCTGGGACGGGAGCCAGGCTGACCACACAGGGTGGCCCTTGGTGGGCCCAGGAGCAGAGCTGAGGGGAAGTGAGGGACAGTGGGTAGAAGGGGAGGCAGGGATCTTTGAGTCCCTGTTGTGCGCCAGCCCTTAGATGGTGCGCCTTCAAGCCTCACACAGCCATAGGGAATGGAGGCTCAGAGCAGCTAAGGAATCACCCAGCTTGTTCAGTGCACAGATCAGACGGGAACCCAGCAAAACACAAAGCCTCAGTGGGTTCCTAGTGCTTCAGAGAGCACAGCCCCTCCCTGTGCCCACTCCACCGATCGGATGCACCTCTGGAAGACCCTGGTGCTCTTGACCCTGAACCTAGGAGGGCTCACGGTTAAACCAGCCCAAGGGGGCCCATCAGACACTATTCCTCCCAATAAGCCACAAGCGAGGGGGAAGGATGCCAGCTTTGGGGCCAGACAACTCTGCTTCAGCCTAGTTCCTACAACTCTCACTGCTGCAGACGGCATCTTCTAATCTACCAAGGGGAAAAGGGCAGCTACCTGGCAGGTTGCTCTGGGCCCCAGGCACACAGAAGGCACTGTATGAGCAACGGCAGCCACCTCATCCGGGTACTCTGGGCCCCTACAGTGAACGCCACAAGGAAGCAGATGTACTACACAGGTGGCAGCCTGAAGCCATTTTTCCAGCTTCATGGGGGTGACAGTCTGGGCTTGGAGTGGCTGGTTCCAGAAGTCCATGGCAATGGGACCGCAGCCATGATCACTCTCCCAGGTAAGTGCCTACAGCCCGGGTGCTCACTGACCTGCAGTGATGCCCTGTGCTTGAGTAGGTACCATGGGTCTGTTACCATGGCAACACAGGCCCAGGTAAACCACGTACTGGATACGAAGTGTGGGGTGGAAGGGAGTGTGGTAGTGCCCAAGAACAGGGCGCTCCTGGCCTTCAGCCAGCACCCTCCCGTCCTCAGCCACATGGTGTCGGAGAAGGGGCAGGTACAGGCCCAGGTCTGAGTCCTCAGCAAAGACCAAGGGCTGAGCTGGCAGCTGATTGTGTCAGTCAGGCATAGCACGTAGAGCCCAGAAGCAAGCCTTCAGGTTCCCTAGATGCAGGTCCCACCCTGCTTTAGCTATCCCTCTGACACTTCGCTGTGCCTGTAGCAGGGGTCTCTAATATCCCGCGATGGCCCAAACCACAGCCCTTGTTGCCTCCTGCAGATAAAGACGGCATGATCCTGCTGGACATCAGCCTCCAAGGACCTGCAGCCAGGGACTCCGTGCCTGTTGTACGTGGCCCAAGTGGCCCTGCCCTGACGCTGGAGTCGTTCCTGCTGCAGCTGGCGATGCGCCCTGGGCACCGGGGTGTCCACATGAACATAGCAGAGCCCGCAGCCCTCCGGCCAGCCCTGACCACCCTGGCAGGCCTCTCCTCCCTTGGCCAACTGCCCTATCCTGTGTGGGTCGGGGCCACTGTCTCCCATGGCAGCTTTGTGGTCCCTGGCCACATGGACGGCAGAGAACTGATCACAGCTGTGGCTGACGTTTTCCCCCATGTGACAGTGGCCCCAGGCTGGCCTGAGGAGGTGCTAGACGGTGGCTACGCGGAGCAGCTGATCACAGATATGTTGGAGTTATGTCAGAAGCTCTGGCAACCTGTGTCCTTCCAGGTGCAGGCTGGGCCGCTGGGGCAGAGCCAGCCAGAGGTAGTGGCCAGGCTACTGGCGGCCTCACCCCGGGCCACTGTCACTGTGCAGAGCAGCCATGCTGGCAGCAGCCCTGCAGCTGTGCGGGCAGGGCTGCTGGCAGCCAGGGCTGAGGACAGAGGCCGAGTCTACTACAGGCTGCCCCAGGAGCAGCGCCAAAGCTTGCTGGCAGACCTTGGCAAGAACTGACTGCCTGGCAGTGCCGGCCGACCAAGCCCTGGGCCCAGGCTTCACGGAGGGGAGGCAGGATGAATAAACACCTGGCCTTCTCCCTGCACCGTGAGTGCGTCTGTCCTCAGGCAGCAGGGGCTGGGCCCCTAGAGTGTCTGCAGGCTAGGGGCGAGGTCGTTCCGGTTGTCCAGGAGGAAGTGCTCGCACGCCTTGAAGGTAGAGTAGAATTCCGAGGACAGGCCGGCCACATTGGAGGTCACATAGTTGAGAAAGCCAGGGGTGGCCTGGTTGTAGTAGGACACCTGCAGGGCAGAAGCTACACTCAGGAGATGGGACGGTAGGGAGGGGGCTTTGGGGAGGGTTCACTGGGGATGCCCAGCTTCTGAGGGGCAGCAACCACAAGCCAGCCCACTGGGGTTTTGCAGGTCCATTAGAAAACTGTCCAGTTGGTAGGCATGGCCTCCGCAGGTTCCCCTAAACCTCCCTTATCTTCCCTGCATCTTCTCTGCCATCAGGAGTCCCTGATGGGTCCCCAGAATCCAGCACTGCATCCTCTTTAATCAAGATGTTCGGGGGCCACGGGCATAAGCTCAGGCACCACTCCAAGGTGCTCCCAGGTACAAGTGAGTTCCTGCATCAGCCACTGGCTGAGTGCCCACCCCAGCCAGCCTGGGGCTCCAGAAGCCGTGAGCCATGCGGGAGCTGTGGTGCCCCTCTCTCAGCCTCCTCCCCCCCTTTTCAATCAACACCAGCTGCTCTGCTGGGTTTTGTGGGCCCTGGGAGCCCTATAAAGCCTTCCTGGAGGGGAAGGGATATCTAGGCAAATAATGAGATGGAATTTTAGATGGGACCAGGTCTTCCTTTCAGCGCTTTACCCAAGCCCCTGAAGCAGGCTCTGACTCCATCTTAACAGGGTCCCTTTCCATCTCCTGCACTCTGCTCTCCCAGGCTGGAAGTAAGAGGCGCTGGAATGGCCTGACCCCAACAGCAATGAGCTCCCTGATTTCAAAGAGGCAGAGCCTGGGGGAGCAGGGGAACCCCTGGTCTCACCTTGGTCAGCTGGTCCCCCTCTCGCCACAGGCAGAAGCCTGAGCACAGCGTCTCCCCGCGGCGGTACTCCGGTGTCTCAGGGTGCGTGGGCAGAGTGACCGATCTCAGCGCGATGATATAGGGGTCTCTGGAGGGGAGGAAGGGCCAGAAGAGGGTGACGTCTCCCCAGCCTGGCATGAGTTCTCAAAGTGATGTGTGGCTCAGGGCCAGGCTGGAGAAAGGAGGCACCCTGGCATCCCAGCACAGGTTTCTAGGCGCCAGTGTGATCCCCCAAGGAGTTTCTGGAGAGGCCTCTCTACCTCGGATATGCTGGGAAGAGCTATGGATTTTTTTGTTTGAGGCAGGGTCTGGCTGTGTAGTTCAGGCTGGCCTCAAACTCAGAGAAATCCTGCTTCAACCTCCCAAGATTACAGGTTGCCAGGCAAGAAAGTTTTTGCTTTTTTTCTGGTATGGGGGACTGAACCCAGGGATTTTTGTTGTTGTTGTTATTTCAAGCCCCTAAATTGCCCAGGCTGGGCTTGAACTTGGGATCCTCCTGCCTCGGCCTCCCAGAGTGCTGGGTCACAGGCATGCACCACTGTGCTTGGCTTGAGATTTTTGTTCTTCCCCTTCCTGTCCCTGTCTACAGCAGGAGTGAAGCCATCTGTCCTGGCCTCCTACCCAGCACAGCTGGTAAGCTCACTGCCTCCAATTACACAGGCTTCCAGAGGACAGTAGCCAAGGGGTAGCCACATGAGAAGTGCTCTGCCACAGCGTTGAGCGAGGCAGCCTTGATGGCCAGGTCCCCGCGGGCCCTACTGTAGGGCACAAGTGTGCGCCTTCATCTCCCACTTTATCCCAGCAAACCTAGGGCAGCCCAGAGCCCCGTGGCCCAGGGTCCCTCAGCCAGGGGAAGAAGAGTTCTGACTCTCGGGTGAACAGTCCTCACCGGCCACTCTACTTACGGCACCCCCGGAGGCAGGTACCCACCCATTGTCACAAGGCTTCCGCCTCGAGGCCAGGATCACGAAGTCCTGGGGTTTGGCATCACTGCCGAGGCCAGGGCTGATGACGTGGTAGATGGCATCGTCCTCGTCCACCTGCTGCACAAGCTCTGCGCTCCTGCAGGACACCACTGCTCAGGGCTGCCCGGCCTCCCACGCTTCACACACACGGCGCAGCCAGCAGCCCCTGGGCCAGACCGTCGGCCCTGGGCAGCTCCACGGAGCTCAGGGGGGATGGCAGGAAGGGCTGGCCACGGGGACATGCACAGGGACACACAAAGGCAGACACAAGCAGATGCTCACATAGACACGCAGAGGTGCACAGCCAGCAAGCCGCACACACCGGACAGAAACGAAGCCCTGTACACAGCCCTGCGCAAGGGCACATGTGGACACACTGAGACAGGCGCGGGTGGGCACAGAGATCCACATCTGTACTTGTCCGCGTGTGCGTACACCCCAAGGCGGGTGCACACGATTTGGAAGGTATGCTTAGTATTCAGTGAGTGCCCACTGTGTGCCAGGCACTGTTCAGGGTGCAGCATTCAATCTCCACAACAGCCCCGGGGAGTAGGGCAAAGACACCCCAACAGGAAGCTTCAGTACAACAGCTGCAAGCCGGCCGCTCTGGTGGGGACGTGCGGGGCAGATTCTTGAGACATGCACCCTGCCTTGTGGAGCTCCCCAGGGCACAGCCCTCATCCAAGCACCTGGAGAGACGCTCCAAGGCCCCAGGGCTGGGCACCAGCATAACAGGAAATGGCCTTGAGGCTCTCGGAAAAACACCAGCTCAGACATACTAAACACTGAAATTTTGTTCATTTTCCTGAAAACATATTTGACTAAAATCGGGAAGATATTTATACACAGAGTCAGTAAATGCGGGGAGCAGGTTTCTCAGAGGAACAGCATTTGGATTCATAGTCACTATATTGAAGAGGAACCTACTCATGCAGCTGCTTACAGGAAGAATCTGCAAACTTGGTGGATCCTGCGAATTGGCCGTCTTGTCCACTGCGCTGAGCCTGGGAGGGGCCCACGCACCCCTCTGCCTTCCAACCCCGCCGCCAGTGACGCCTCAGCCCCACCGAAGGCAGCTTGAAAGGGACTCTACATCGCTGAGTGCAACCCCCGACCTAGCCCTATCCAAGTGCCCATTTAAGACGGGAAATGGGGGCTGGGGATTTAGCTCAGTGGCAAAAGCGCCTGCCTGGCAAGCGCAAGGTCATGAGTTCGGTTCCCGGTACCAGAGAAAAAAAAAAAAAAAAAAAAAAAAACAAAACAAAATAAGACGGGAAATGAACCTGGAAAGGAAGTGACCTGATCAAAGGCACATGGCCAGCAGGGACAGAACCGAGATGGCCTAGGCCCCCAAATTCAAGCCGAGGGTCTTCCCTGAGGGCTCACAACCGCCCCACCTAACCCAAGCCAGCCCAAGCGGCTGATAGGAGGTGCCCCAGGCCGAGGGAAGCAGCCCACCTGCGCCCAGCCTCACCGGTAGTGCCTGTCCCACTCCGGCCTCCGCCGCAGGTCCGAGAGCAGCAGGAAGGCCTGGGCGGCGTCCACATGCACCAGCATCTCCAGGTGGAAGGAGAGGAACTTGTCGTCCTCCAGGGTGTACAGGTGAACCTGCCCGGGCAGACGCAGCCTCAGTCTCACCCTCCAGGGCTGTGCTAGCCGGGTGTGGCCTGCTGGGACTGTGGCTGCCGACAAATGACTGGGCTCCCACGCCGGTGCAGAGGGATGCACAGCGTGCAGTAGAGGCGGACAGCAGCAGCGACCGAGGCAGCAGCCTCACAGCCCTTCAGCTCCGGAGCCCCAAACCTAAGCTCAGAGGCACAGCCCAGAGGGGCAGAGCTCGGGTCTTTTCCGCTGCCCACTGCCCGTCCTGAGGGGATCGGAGGTCAGGGCTTCCCCACCCTGGCCTGGGGACAGGTGTGTTTCTAGAGCTCCAGCAGAGGCTCTGAGAGCGCCTGTCACTGGCCACCAGCCTCCTGCAGCCACTCAGAAGGGACAGCACGTGGGAGTGGGCTCAGCTACCTGGCTGATCTCTGAGGACAGCACCCAGTTGTCCTTGGCCACCAGCACCTTCAGGGCGGACACGTTGTTGTAGCTCAGGTACACCTGGGGAGAGCACACAGATGCTACCGCCCCCTCCTGGGCGCCCCCTTCAGGCAGTGTAGGGAGCAGGAGAGGAGCTGGAGCCAGGAAGCTGGGGTTACTGCAGAGAGGAAGCTTGATTGGGCCTCTGGAAGGAAGCTTGACTGATCCAGACCCCCACGGGCAGAGGGTTCCCCACAGCCCTGTTCCCTGCAGGGGCCCCTCCAAACCCACTCTGACCAGCAGAGGAGGCTGTGTGGACCCCCGTGGGCCTGGAGACTGTCCCCTTGGAGCAGAGGGCCTTACCTGGTTGCTAGGGTCCCAGGGGACAGAGAGGGGCACCTCCGTCTGCTTACAGGACACGATGTACTTCCTGGGAGGGCAGAAGATGGCACACTGAGTCCCTGAGAAGCCTCCCTGGGGTGGAGGCCAGAGGGCAGGCAAGCGGGGGGCGGGGGGGCTCGTGGCTGAGTGGGGACACGGGATTGCATATCACCTAGGACAGCTGCTGCGAGCAGGACCTCAGCCAGCTCAAGGGGCAACCTGGGAGGAGGGCAGCTGAAGGCTCAGTGCCCATACCCTTGTGGAGTAACCACACTTTCACCTCAGTGTCTGCTTCGGAGAAACGGGGCAGAGTCACGCCAGCCTCGCAGCCTCCCCCAGGATCGCAGTGCTGATACACGGCAAATGCTCCATTGTCACTTTCTCCCTTCCTTCCTCCCTCCCTCCTTTCCTTCCTTCCTTCTTTCCCTTCTCTCTTTTCTCTTTTTCTTCTTCTGTTTTTTTTTTTTTTTTTTTTTTGAGACAGGGTCTCACTATGTAGTTCAGGCTGGCCTTGAACTCACTATGCAGCCAAGGGTGATCTCAAACTCACAATGATCCTCCTGCTTCACCCTCCCAAGTGCTGGGATTACAGGTGTGTTTATTTTGTGGGGGACATGCTCTCACTAAGTCACTAAGTTGCCCAAGCTGGGTTTAACTTGAGATCCTCCTGCCTCAGCCTCCTAGCCTGCTGGGATTACAGCTCCAATGCACACTTTCCTGACCCACAGTGCCTGTGCACCCAGTATGTTTTCAGCACCCTGCAGTTGTAAGGTGCTCTCACAGCAGAGTCCGCAGATTCACAGTCTGAGCACCTGCTGTCCTCTCCCGGTCCGTCTGCTTTTCTCCGTCAAATACGATCTGCTATCACCTGGCCCCTGTCAGGTTCAACTGCTAGCTGACAGCTCCACCTGCCTGTGTGCTGAAGGGGGAGCCACCAAAACCTGTCCTGTGTGTCAGGGCGTGCATAATGGGCCACAAGCCAGCTGTCTAAAGGCTGCGTGGGTGACAGGGGCGCATCCCAGCGCCCAGCCAGTCCAAAGCCGGAGTCTGCCCTGGGGTCACAGAGCCAGGACAGCCCATGCGCTCCCTCACGCCTGCTCCCACTCGCCTGTCCAGCCGAATCTTCTTTCTGGCTTGGGCTTCTCGGTAGCGCCGCTCACCGTCCTGGGAGGAAGCAGGGACAGGCTGCAGTAGGGGGACACCAGGGAGCCCCTGCTCTGCCCCTCCCTGTGCCCTCTGCACCCCGGCATGGAGCTCAGGTCTCAAGGGGAGCTGGAGGCCAAACATCCTGGCCAGGAAAGTGTGGGTACCAGCTGCAGCCCTGACTCCTCTGGGAGTCCCTGAGTGACTGGGAATGCCACTTCCCCTCACTGGGCCTCAGTTTCCCCTTCCATCACAGGGGCCCTCAGAGGGCACCATAGTGACTGCCTGTGTACCCAGGCTTTGCTATGAACTGTCCTCTTTCAAAGCCTGTCATTCCCATGGCAAATCCCAGAAGCTGGCGCACACTCTCCCCATAACACAGACAGGGAAACTGAGTCTGAGATGGTGGAGTGGCTTGCTCCAGGCCAGAGTATGGAGTGGAATCCAGAAGGCCTGACTCAGGGCCCACCTTCACACCACCACCTCTAAAGTTTCCACTCATGAGTGTGAAAGCCAAGTGCCAGCTGGCACACACCTGTGGTTATAGCTACTTGGGAGGCTGAGGCAGGAGAACTGCAGGTTCAAGGCCAGCCTGGGCAACTTGGCAAGACCGTGTTTCAAAATAAAAAGTGATGAGCCAGGCATGGTGGTGCATGCCTGTAATCCCAGCACTCGGGAGGCTGAGGCAGGAGGATCGTTGCGAGTTGGAGACCAGCCTAGGCTACAAAGTGAGCTCAAGGCCAGTTTGAACTGCATAGTGAGACCCTGTCTCAAAAAACAAACAAACAAACAAAAAAAAACCACGAAAATAAAAAGATGGTAAAGTAAAAAGGAAAAAAAAAAAAGAGAGAGAGAGATGGTTGTGCAGCTCCAAGGTAGACTGCCTGGGTAAGGTGTGGGGGAGCACTCCCCTTGGCCCCTCCCCCTGTGGCCACACCCCTGCCCAGCTCCACAGACATGGGCTGTTACAGCTGTGCTTGGCCATGTGCAAGGCTAGGCGGGGGCAGGAGACCTTCCTGGAGAGAGACCCTCGCCACGGTCACCACCTGGCCCACAGGAAGCAGGGACAGCCTTTCCTCAGACACAGCCTGGTGGCCCCGGTCCCTGCAGTCCCCTGCACTCTATAGGCCCGAGCAGGGGATGCAGGGGCACCTCCAGGTGGGACTGCGGCTCACAGGGGCCCATTCGCATGTGGCACCTGGGATGTTCTGATCCTGGGAACCCCAAAAGCAGGGCTCTTCCCAACCCTGCAGGTGGGGAAGATCCTTCACACCCAGTACCAGCCAGGCTCCACACGCTTCCGCGTTCTGCCCGGCTACCTTCCCCAGGCCTCTCGGAGCTGGCTGTGCCCCTCGGAGGGCCAGGACCACCTCCACCCACTCAGACCCAACGGGGCAGGGGGCAAGGAAGCAAACTGCTCCCCACTTACCCCCGGCTGCGGCTGGATCCAGGGAAGCTTCTGGGGCTGGTCATCTGCATCCAGGACCACGAAAGTCATGAAGGCACTGTTGATGTGGCGCCAGCGGGGCTCGGCCTCCTGGCGATAGGCCTCCACGCACACACCCACCTCCATGCTGGTGGTGGGGAGGGGAGGGAGCTGCTCGAGTGCTGGCCAGGTGACCCTAAGGCTGCGTCCTCCCTAGCACTCGAGCGCACACACAGTACACGGCCATATGCACACCCTCCTGGAGCTCTTCCAATGACTTGGACCACGGACCGTCCAGAAGTGTTCTCATGCACCACGTTTGCAGAGGACCTGCTGTGTGCTCAGCCTGGGCGCACAGGCGGGAGTAAACCTGCCTGGTCCTGGACCCACGAGCTAACACCAGGGGAGGGAGTAACAGATGAGGAAGCAAAGAGACACAATGCAGTTCTAATCCGCGTGAGTCTGAGAGCACACGGGCCACCAGCAGAGATGGATGACTAATTAGGAACCTCACTCGTTGCTCAGGTTCCCAGCTCCACGGCGGCCATCTTGCCATGCCTTATTATCTTTATTAATTATAAAACAGCATCTACAGCCAGGCATGGTGGCACAGGCCTGGAATCCCAGCATTCTGGGATGCTGAGGCAAGAGGATCTCAAATCTGAGTACAGCCTAGCCAACTTAGCAAGATCCTGTCTTAATATAAAAATAAAAAAGGGCTAGGGATGCGGCTCCCCAGAAAGGCCCTGGGTTCAGTCCACAGTACCACATAAATAAGCACATGCCCACAGCCGCCACCATTCACCACATCTTAGGAAGTTCTGCGATGGCACACGGGGGATTTTATACAAGACTGGCACAAGGCAATAATTTGCCCAAGGTCGCAGAGCCAAGGCAATAATTTGCCCAAGGTCGCAGAGCCAAGCAGGAAGAGGATCCGGCAGCAGCCAAACGCGTGCTGGGTGGAACTCGCCTGCCAGCCCCAATGGTGGCCTCGCCCCGGCATCTGCATTCTTCTCGCAGCCCTCAGCAAGGCCTCCTGGGCTCCGACAGGCAGCTCAGCCCCGGTGAGGGGTGGCTGGGAGGGATGCACTGAGCTCTTGGGCCCCCGGAGAGTGCACAGCCGTGAGCTAGGAGCCCAGCGGGGAGCTGAGTGTGCCAACATGGGTCTGGGGACCGGCCCAGGCAGAGGCTCAGACCCTGTCTGCACCCCACCCTCACCTGTGCTTGAAGGCATTGTTCACGATGGCCTTGAGCACCAGACGGTCCCCGACTTGAGACGGGCCCCGGAACTGGAACATCTCGATGGCCTTCAGTGTGGGGTGGGCCCGGCAGAGGCGGCTGCAGGGATAGGAGAGACATCCCAGCTGGGAGCCACGTGTGCCACCCTGGGACCCAACCCAGGGACGGCTCTGCTCAAAGGACAGCGTTGTACCACAGCTTTGGTACTGAGGTCTACGCACGGGGCTGGGAACGAACGGAGGCTGAGCGAGCAGAAGGACGCGTAGGACCCTCCCCAGCTTCCTTCCAGTGTTTACCTCTGAACACCCGCTGCCCCACTGCCTGGAAGTCTCCCCTGCCCCACAGCTCCTGTCATTCAAAGCCCGAGGGCTGCTCCTCCAGGAAGCCCTCCCTGGCTGCCTAGATCTCACCCCCAGCCCAGGCTGCAGAACAGCACTGCCTCCTCGCTGTCTCCCCCAGGCCAGGCACAGAGGACAGGCTGCCTGGCCAGGCCCCGAGGATGAGGAAGAACCGCCTTGCAGAGGAGGGCACAGAGAGGGAACAGCAAGCACAAAGTCACGGAGCTTCCAGGTTCAACTCTCCAACGGCAGCTTCGTACATACGATGCTTAAGCGTACATACGATGCTTAAAAACACTGAACAAGCGCAGGACACGCCCCAGATCAGAGAAAACAGCGTCCACCGCTAGCAGGGAGGGGAGAGTCAGAGGCAGCTGGACAGAGGGGCAGGCGGGCGGCTGCCAGCAGACAGCACAGGGGCTGCAGGACGTCACGCGCTGAGGGGCCAGGACCGGGAGGGTGGGGCAGGGATCAGCCAATGGCTGATTCCAAAAAGCACATTTACCAGGAGGAGGGCAGGCAAGGCCTAGCCAAAGATTTCTGTTTGTTTGTCTGTTGTTTTTGTTTTTTCAGTGCTAGGGATTGAATCCATGGCCTGGTGCATGCTGGGTAAGTGTTGTGTACTGAGCTACATCCCCAGCCCAGAGTTGATCAAGGGGAGGCTCGCCCAGGAGGCCAAGGGGCTGCGGTGGAATTTATGGGTTGAGCATAAATGGCCAGAAATCATTTCTTTCAGGCCTGAACATCCTGTGAAAGCCTAACAGAACAGCCAAGCTCCTGAAGCCTTGAATGCCAACACCAGAAGGGGTTTCTCCTGCTCAGGGGACACCAAGGGGAGGAGGGAGGAGGCAGACAGAGGCCACACCCTCACCTGGCTGCAATGGTGGCCACATTCTCCATCCAGGCCATGATCTGGCCCCCGAAGGTGTTGCCCTGGTGATTGGCGTGGGGCGGCAAGACCAGCTCCACACTCTCCACGCGGGTCTTCTCGGCCGGCACCGTGCGGCTGCAGTCCTTGCTCTCGGGGTCTGGCCAGGGCAGGAGGCAGAGAGCTGAGAGGGTCCCTCCCTCCAGCAGTCCTGGGGCTCCATACCACCCAGGGTCTTTAATCACTCAACACGGGGTGAGCATGGGACACAGATGGGCCCCAGGCCAGGTGAGGGACAGGACACGAGCCTGTCACAGGCAGCAGACAGGACGCCTGCTTTGAACTGAGATGCACCTGGTCTGAACCCCGGCTCCCCTCACCACGGTGTGTGACCTCGGGCCAGGCACGTGACCCCTCTGCACCACACCTGCCCGGAGCATACGGCTCAGGAATCAATCCCACCCCAACAGCGCCCACACACTCTGGAGAAGTGTGGCTGTGGTTACAGGGTGTGGGCCCCACACCCCACAACTTAGGACAGCTCTTCCCATCCCTGTCACCCGACATGCCCCATCCCCGACATCACCCATCCCCCAACATCACCTGTCTCCTGGTGTCTCCAGCCCCCACCCCCCCACAGAGCCTGTCCCAGGACACTGCCCCATCCCCTGGCATCCCCTACCCCCTGTCCCTGACATCCCCTGTCCCTGACATCCCCTGTCCCTGGCAGTGAGAACCCCCTCAGCAGGACAGGCCAAAGGACAAATAGGGCCTTGGGCTTCCGGGCAGCAGATGCTGACACATCCCACCCAATGCAAGGTGGCGTCATGTGGAGCGGGTAAAGGGCAGCCGGGCAGGAAGCAGGCAGTGGCACTAGGACTGCCGGGCACAGAAGGGACTCAGGTGGCTGCTCTCCCCACCCCGCAGCAGCCCCATGGCCTTCCTTTGTCCTAAAGTCGCCTCCCTGGGGTTTGAAGGAAGGCCTCCCACGGACACCCTAGAGACTGGGGGGTAACCCCGCCCCTGCGCACACCTGGACTGTGCCCTCTGGGGGGACACTGCCCTTCCCTCCTCCAGTCAGCACTCTCCTCATCCCACGGGGACCTCAAGCGCTGACTCAGAAGCACTCCTAGAGACTTCTGGGAGGAAATCAGCTACAGCACTGGTTCTGTTGCTTCCTCTTGGGTAAGAGCAGGGGCTAAATAAGAACTGGATGCCAAACATTCAGGGCACACTTCTGGGCAGATACCTGGGCTCTGGGATGGGGTAGTCTTACTTCCCGTCTGTATCTTCTTTGGGAAAAGGAAAGATGTCCACACACACACACACACACACACACACACACACACACACACACACAGAGCTTTTCCAAGCTCCTACCAAGTCTTCCCAGTTTATCTCGGTCCCACCTTCCCAAGCACCACAGCTCTGGAGCCTGGGCTGCCCACTGTGGCCCACAAAGGGATTTTCCTAGGCCTCGATCCCTCGTCTAGGCCCTGGGCACCGGGCGAGGCCCAAGCACCTCCTTTCCTGGAGGTGACCCCAAGTCCAAGAGGGGCCCGGCACCCCGGGAGCAGGGGTTCCCCCGCGTCTGGGCAGGGAGCCTAGCAGAGGCACGTGGGTCCCCCCCGCCCTCCCTGCACGCACAGCTGCTGCTCACCGTCCTTAACGGTGCAGCTGGCCAGGAGGTCCTTGATGGTGTCCGCATAGACCAGCCGCATGCGCCGGCGCTCCGCAGCCACACTGTGCTCCATCTTCTCCTCCTCTGTCCGCGGGGTGATCTGCTTCAGCTTCACCTGGGGGCCCGGGGCCGGTGGGGTGCTCAGGACAAGCGTCCTGGAACAGCACAAGGCTGTCCCGCCTGTCTCCCCCACACCAAGGGGGGCCCCCACTGGCTGGGCTGCTCCCCTCCAGTGTCCACCTGGACTGCTGTGTCCTATTCATCCTCCAATATTCCCACAGGCCTCCCTGGGCAAAGGACCCAGCGAACAGAGGGTCGCTGTGGACCGTGAGCCCGGCCTGAGGCTCTGCCCCCAGGGGCCTGGGCATGGGCGGCAGTGAGCCTTCCTCCCCCAGGGGCCAAGGTGTCCTGCTCAGCCCACCACGACAGGCAGTGCTGAGGGCGGCGGCAGTGGGCTACCTTGGACAGCTGCTGGTGGGCCACAAAGGTGGCCAGGGCCTTGCACACAGTCCACTGCTTCTCAGAGCACAGGTCCTCGGAGGCCACCTGGATGCCCACCTAGAGGAAATGGAGGTGGGAGGGGATATGAGACACAGCCCACAGCCTCGGGGCCCAGGCGGATGAGGTGGGAAGGCCATCCAGGCCCAGCCTCTGGTCTTTCAGTGTCACCTCGGGTCCGGAAGGCCAGTGACCTGGCTGGCTCTGGCTGTGCTCCCAGCTCCCTGAAGAACCTGGGCCAAGCCACTTGCCTTCCCTGGGCCTCAGTTTCCTCATCTGAAAAGGACTGCTGAGAAGACTAAAATGACACTGTCCACCTGAGGGTTTCGGGAGGTAACGTGTTGGTGAAATTTAAAGGATAGACCCCTAGGGGTTCCTGGGGCCCACTAGGCATTTTTAGGGTATCCAGGGGCACGTGGGCCTTTGTAAGCCCTCAGGAACTGGTGGCCCAGCTGGGGGAAGCTGCCTGGGCCTACTTCATAGAGGGAAGTGGAATTTCAGAGGTGCAAAGCTCAGAGCCCTGCACTGTCCATGAAGTCCACCCACCAAACCCACAACACCCCTGCAACACAGGAGTATGGTCCCATTTTACAGATGAGAAGACAGAGGCCATCTGAGGTGAGCCACCAGCCAAAGCCCAGCACTGTCCCCGCCTCCAACCAGACCCAGAGGCCGTCCCCACTCCACTCCCCTGCTGCCTGCTGCTGCAGACAGGACCTGGGCTGGACCTGCAAGTCTGTTCCCACTCCTGAGGCAAGTCCCTGCCCCTGCCGGGGCCTCCACCTCCCCTCTGCACTGTGGGCTGCTTGCCAGGAAGATCTTTGGCTCCTCCTAGCCCCACTGGCCTTTTGAAACTCTGCTGCCCCACCAGGGCCCCAGACAAGCGTGCGCCAGGGGTGGACCAAGGGAGGGAGAAGGACGCCAGCCCAGCCCCACCCAGCAGGGCCCCCCACACACCTCCATGCTGGAGTTGAAGGCCCGGTTCACCTTGGCCTTGATATTCACCACTTGTCCGACACTGGGGAGAGGAAAGCAGGAGGTGAGCCTTCCCGAGGGCGTGGGGAGGGCAGGGGCCTCAGGCCTCGCAGGGCATGGTCACACCTGCAGCGTCACCGGGTCCTCCATCAAGCCAGCAAGGCAGGGTCCACTCCCCACTTCTCAGGTGGGCAAGCTGAGGCTGAGAGCAGTGGCCGGGTTTCACTCACACCGCCATCTCCCTCTCTTTCCCTGCTCCCCGGGTCCAGTTAAGGCTGAGTCTTCTTGCTCTCGGCTTCCCATTCCCTCCCTAGGCGGCACCCCGTCCTCCGTGCCCCTCTGGGGCACACCCTCCTCTGACCTTCGTTCTGAGCTTCACTGGGAAGGGCAGGGGTTCTGCTTGGTCTTCGTGGGGCTGGGGGTAAACCAGGGCCTTGGGCATGCTAGGCAAGCACTGTACCCCCGGGCCACACCCCAGCCATGTGGCCAGGCTGTAGTCCCTGTGATCTGTGGCCTGGCACATCGCTTGGAGTGGGTCCTCCCTACACTGAGTGCCAGGGGCAAGAGAAGGTGAACAGGGAATGGAGACACCGAGAGAATGCCCACTATGTGCCTGGCTTGGCATGCAACCTCGTTCATGCCCCTGCCCGAGCTCAGCAGATAGGGTTAGGAGGACTGGGCTACAGAGGTTAAGGCATCTTTCCAAGGCCCCGGCTCCAAAGCGGCCGAGCTGGAATCCAGACTGACTGTGTGACCTAGCCAGCCCCGCACTCTCTGGTGCAGCCTGGGATGACTCCACCCAGCTGGCCCCATGCCTACCCAGAGGCAGCACAGGGTGCCCAAGGCTGTGGAGGCCAGGGGCAGGAGGCAGAGTGACCTTGAAAGGTCCTTTCACCTCCGCACCTTGGTGCCTGAACCTGGAGGTCACAGTGATGACTGTTCTTCCTCAAATAACACTGCCTTCTGCCCAGCCCTGGGAAGGCTCCTTCCAAGGGGCCTGGGGGTCCAGTGGGAAGGAACACACGGGCATGGCTTCCAGTAAGCTCTACCCGGACTACCTCTCACCACGCCATGTGAGCCCGGGCGAGTCCTTTCACCTCTCTGCATGTCTTCCTGTGCCTGAAGTGTGGAGAATGCACGACTATCGCCCGTGCTGCTAAGTGTCAGCTGTGAGGCAGTGCGACTCAGCCGCCAGCCCAGGCAGGAGCTCAGCACATTAGACCCGCTCATGTCGGCCATGGCCGATCTCTGTGACTGTTTTCAGCAGGAGCCATGGTTATGATGCGGGAGAAGGGTATGTTTTATGAGCTACGTGCTAAGGAAGGAAGTACCAGAGAGACAGAAAGGGAATGTCTTTCTCTACACACAGACAAAGCAAAGTTAGCAAAATGTTAATTACTGGCCCTTAGTAATGGTGGCCATTTCACTGAACTTTCTATATGTTTGGAAGTTTTTATGATCAAAAATTAAAAAGAAGAAATTTGATGGTCCCTTCAAAGCACAGCACTCCCCCATCTATAGTTTCAGCTACCTGCAGTCAACTGTGGCCTGAAAATTAAATGGAACATTTTGGATATAAGCAATTTGTAAGTTTTAATAACATTTATTAAAGTATATTGTTATAATTGTTCTGTTTTATTATTAACTATTGTGGTTAACATCTTCCTATGCTTAATTTAAACTTTATAATAGTTTTGCATGTATAGGAAAAAACATCTTCTATGTAGGTCCATGGATTTGGGTACCCACTGGATGTCTTGGAACACATCCCTGCGGATAAGGGGAGACTACTGTAAAAAATAAAAGTTGATTTTCTATGGCATTAAAAGAGAGCTAAGGGCCCAGGACATAGCTCAGAGGCACAACGCCTGCCTGGCAAGTGCAAGGTCCTGAGTTCAATTCCTGGTACCAAAAAAAAAAAGAGGGAGACCTGGGTCATAGCTCAGTGGCAGAGTACTTGTCTAGCATGTGCAAGGCCCTGGGTTCAATCCCCAGCACCACAAAAAGACAGCTACAGTGTGAAAAGAGACACGTGTGACCCTGCCACTCGTTACTCCCCTCCCCCTTCCTCTCCAGCTCCCCATAAGCCAACCAGACAGGGGGAGTGGAGCTTTCCCTTCCAGACTGCCCTCCACCCGCAGGCCTCAGGCCACACTGATCACCACCCAGCCTCCTCAGGGACCTCCATGAGCCTCCAGGCCCCAGTACCTCAGATTGTTCCTCACAATGTAGAGAGGTGGCTCCAAAAAGTAACCTGGCCCCACCAAGCCCTTCCTTGTGTCCAGTTCACACCCAAGGGACAGAAGAACATGTTCAACTACACCACGGTGGTGCTAATGGCAAAACCCAGAAGATGGAGAAGGAAAATGACCAGGTCTCCTCAACAAGCAGGTGGAGAGAAGGTGTGGGGAGCTGAGGGGAGTATCTATAGTTTTCTGGTTTTTTTAATCTGGACATAGCCACCAGTACACTTGCATAGCCCATAGAGTTTGTTCTGCATAGCCCATAGAGTTTGTTCTTCTGATTGCAATAACAATAAATGCAAAGCAAAACAAAATAAAATCATCTCACAAGACAGTGTGGGCATCTGAAAACTGACTAGATATTGATGTCAGTGAGAAATGTTATTTTTTTTAGGCATGGTAATGGTGCTGAAGTTATGTTTTAAAATAATTCATAGTCCTTAAAATATATTCTAGCTGGGCATGGTGGTGCACACCTGTAATCCCAGCACTTGGGAGGCTAAGGCTGGAGGATCATTGCGAGTTCAAGACTAGCCTGGGCTACAAAGTGAGCTCAACAAGGTCAGCCTGAACTGCACAGCGAGGCCCTGTCTCAAAAAGACAAAAACAAATAAAACCAAAAAAAAAAAAAGATATATAAGATATAGTCAGAAATTTATTTTTGTTCCCATTATTTTTTGTTTTGTTTTGTAGTACTGGGGACTGAACCCAGGGTTTTCCTACTAAGCTACATTCTCAGCCCCTTTTCTATTTTTTATTTTGAGACAGGGTTTCACTAAGTCACTAGGTTGCCCAGGCTGGGCTCAAACTTGTTACCTTCCTGCTTCAGCTTCCGAGAGTGCTGGGGTTAAGCCACCATATCCCAGCTGAGAAATATTTTTAAATGACAAGGGCAGAAACAAACAAAACCCACCAGCTATGCTCGGGCCCCTCTGAACCTTCCTTTCTCCCAGGGTCTTCCCCATAGACTCACTTTCACCCCAGAGCTCCAAAGGTTCACGCCATGCACACATGCTCCCAGCCCTCCCTACCCCTGCTCCTCCAAGGAAGAGACCCCGAGCAGACCCAGACATGGCCCCACAGGCCTCCAAAGTGTCACTGTACACAGAACTGACTGTACTGGAGCCAGCTCAAACCTCCTCCGGGAAGTCCCCCTTGACAATCCCAAGATATATGGGAAACGTAGCCCACTTGCTAAGAGCAAAACCTCCGGGGCCAGACCAGCTTCCAGTAGAATATCCTCAGTCCTGCACTTAGGCAAGTGTGACCTTAAGCAAGTTCCCTCACTTCTTGAACTCAGTTTCCTCCTCTGTAAAATGAGGATTCTAGCATCCCGGACTTCACAGTGTTGTTCAGAGGATTAAATAAGTTAATGTATTTAAAAAGGCTTCCAAACAAGGTATCAACCCTGGTTCATTAATTGTGACAAAGGTACCCTCTAGATGCAATGAGTTAATAATAAGGGACTTGGGGGTGGGGTAGATGGGAACTCTCCTGTCTTTAGGAATACAACTTTTTGGTAAACCTGAAACTCTTCTAGAGTAAAAAGTTCTTAGGATGGTGCGAGGAGGCACTCACACATCAGAGCTCACTGTTGGCCAGAAACGCCCCCTTCTTTGTCGTTGCTGTTGCCCAGGGCTGGGGGTCGAGCCCGGGGCCTCGTGCTCGCTGAGCACATGCTTGGCCCCAGCCCCGGCCCCAGCGTCCCCCTCTGAATGGAAACGATGCTTCTAGAGCTGCTTGCCTACACCCTCGGAGCTCCTGGGAACAGAGACCGCTGCCCGGACCAGCAAGCTTCCCACCTGACAGTCAGCGTGCGGCGAAGGAGGGCCTGCAAGCACAGTGTGACCACGTCTGCTCCCTAACCCGCACACAGTGCGCCCCGGGCAGTCCAGAACAAGCCTTGGCGCTTGGCAGCCTGGGTACGGAATGTGAGGCAGGGACAGAGCTCTGTGCACCCTGCTGTAGCCTGTCCAGCCCTGGGCTCCTCACGTCCAGACACAGGGCTGGAAGAAGGGGCCAAGCTGCAGGGGAAGGCTCAGTGTGGTGTGGTAAAGACCCTTCTTTCCTTTTCCTCCTCTTTCTTTCTTTCTTTCTTTCTCTTTCTTTCTCCCTCTCTCTCTCCCTCTCTCTCTTTTTTTTCCTGCAGTACCCAGGGCCTCACATTTGCCAGAAAAGTGCCTACTACTGAACTACAAACACGTATTTTTATTTTTGCTACGTCATTACTTACCTAAGCTGGGCTCATACTCGCCACCCTCCCACTCCTATCTCAGCCTCCCAGAGTGCTGGGATTATAGATGTGCACCACCAGGCCCAGTTTGATGACAAGCATCCCAGTCAGTATAGCCATAAAAAAATCATCATTTAAACAGGTCTACAGGCCTGCTTTAGGGGCTGGGGATTTAGCTCAGTGGCACAGCACCTGCCTGGCAAGTGAGTTCGATTCCCGGTACTGGAAAACAAACAAACAAACAAACAAAAAGGCCTGCTTTAGTATGAGCACCTTATCAGCCTTCAGGTTCATGAAGAGACACTGACTGACCCAAGCCTCCAGCTCTGGCCTCAGTATGTCGCCCTGTCTAGGGGTCTCCCCACAGTCCTGTGACCCACAGAGACTATCTGAAAACAAAGGCCCATAGACAGAGACTGACTTCCCCAAAGCCACATAGCACTCCAGCAAGTCCAACTCCAAACCTGAAGCAACTTCCGTGGCCCCATCCTGGCTGAGGGACCCCTCACCCCACGGCACCTGGCAGGGGGTCAGCTCCCAGCTCCCAGCTGCCCAGAGACCTGCAGACAGACCCCGGCCTGCATAGGCTGCCCTCGTTCCATTCGCATAGGCCAGGCTCCAGGCAGCACACAGTCTGACCAGGCTCTGGCTCCCGAAGGGAGAACAGCACCCTAAAGCAGGAGGCACCACCTACCTAATAGTGTGCTCAAAATAGATGTCGTCCATGGAGGCTGTGACACAGGGGCAGCCCGCATGCCTCTCCGCTGGCAATGGGAGAAGAGAGCCAGAGGTTAGCAGCCTTCCACATCACACAGGCCTCTCTCTGATCAAGTGTCACCTCCTTAAGAGACTTCTCTGGCTTCCAAGCCCAGGCCACCCCAACACGCCTTCTTTCTTGTCCTTTGCCGCCGCCATCTTGGTTGGTTCTATGTGCCTGGGTTCCACTGGGCTACTGTTCCTCCCTTCAGCGAGGCTATGAGTTACAAGAGGGCTGGGGGCCTGTCCTGTCCTGCTCTGTCAACGCCTAGCACATAGACTCAGTCAGCAGCTGTGGACTGAGTGAGTGATCACACCATGCCGTCCTAGTCCCACCTTCTCAGACATCAGAGTCTTTACCTAATGTTTCCCTGCCTGAGTCCCTCTCACCCTCAGGACCCTGCTCAGGTGCCTGAGCCCCTCTGCGAGCCTTTCCTGTCGCCAAAGCTGGGTTTCGGCCTTTCAGTGGTGCAGGGAGACAGTAGGGTCACTGCGTGTCTTGCATCCCCACTCCAGCAGGCCGTGAGCTCCCTGAGAACACTGGGCCAACCAAAGAGAGGAAAGGAGCTCAGCTCAGATGGGAGAAGGGAGAGCAGCAGATGGCCCTAGCACTGTCTCAGTTCAGCACTTTCAAGCCAGTCATGAAGCCACCAAGTCTAAGGTTGCATGGGAGCTGGGACTTCAAGGCACGACCCAGGCACCGGGAACTGTGGAGCCTGGGGAGAGGGACAGGCTGCCCTGACCACTAGGAAACTGCGAGGGCATTTCAGGCAGGTGGACCAGGATGAGCAAAGGCCAGGGGGAGGAACAAGTGTGCCACTTAGGGGAACAGTGGCATCTCTGAAAGCGGACATCTCTGCCCTGGACCCAGGCCTTACCAGACAGGCAGGCTGTGGTATCGATCCACTTGAGCAGCTGCCCAATGCTCAGCTCGCCACGCTGGTTGGTGTGGCAAGGCAGCACCACCTGGCTCATCTGCACCTCTGTGGGGTTCCGATCATCCTTGCCGTCGGCCATGGCATCCTCGTCCCCCGCGTGCGAGGCCAACTTCCGGGAAGTGCGGCTTGAGAACACGGAGGCAAAGCTCTAGGGAACAGATGGGAACACGGAGGTCAGCTCTGTCCAGTCAGAGACTCAGGGCCTGAGGGAGAGGAGCAGCATCCTGAGGCCACCATCCTCCAGCCCATAGTGTCAGAGCCGGGGGCTCTCTGCATGTCACCTAGGCCTGGTTTCCTTCTGGCCAACAACTCCATGTCAACACAACCTTGGACCTAGGGTGGTGATGGGAAGGGAGAGAGAAACACAGAGAATCTACCTCCTCACTTCAGTCTGGCTTTAGGTGAACCTCCATTCTTGAAAGATACCCTTCTCTACAAAACCTGGGAGCTACACACTGCAAGTGGACGTCACCTCGGCCTTAACTTAAAAAGGAAGGAAATTCGGACCTATGCCCCGGAACAGATGAACCTTGAGGACAGTATTCTAAGTGAAGCATGTCAGTCACAAAAGGACAAACATGTGATTCCATTCTTGGAGGTTCTTAGAGAAGCCAAATGCATCCAGACAGAAAGTAGGATGAATGGTAGTCACCAAGGCCTGGGTGGAAGAAGGGAGAGCTACTGCTTAATGGGTTGGGAGTTTCATCTTGGGAAGATGAAAAAGTTCTGGAGGTTACAGTGATGGTGCCCATGTTCAACAGCATGAATACGCTGAGTGCCACCAAACTGTACACTTTAAAATGCCTAAAATGGGGCTGGGTATAGCTTAGTGGTACAAGTGCCTACCCAGCAAGCGCAAGGTCCTGAGTTCAATCCCCAGTATGGTGCAAAAAAAAAAAAAATGTCTAAAATGGAGCCAGACATGGTGGTGTGGCCTTGTCATCCCTGGCACTCTGGGAGACTGAGGCAGGAGGATCACAAGCTGGAGTCCAGCTTGGGAAATTTAGCAACTTAGCAAGACCCTGTCTGAAAATTAAAAATAAAAAAGGGCTGGGGATGCAGCTCAGTGCAAAGGCCCTGGGTTCAATCCCCAGTACTGCAGAAACAGGAATAATGTCTAAAATGGGCCACTGTCTAAAGTGGGCCCCTGCCCATGTGCTCCCTTGCCCTGTAGAGTGACTTGCTTTCCTACTTGCATGTGGCCCAAACTTGCTCTGCAGTGCCTGTTTCTTTTCCTACCTTTTATAAATGTAAAACTCGGACTGTTTGTGCTTTCGGGACAGAAAGAACCTAGAAACCATCTCTAGAAGGAGACTCCAGCATCCCAAAGCCAGTAATACATTTGGCCTAGCCAGCCAGAAGGAGCTGGGGAACACAGGAAGATTTCTCAGGACACTGGGACAGTTTCCTGGTGTGTCCCACATGAGGGGGCGGGAGGAGCCCAGGGCCTCTGTATTCTTCCCAGTTGAAATTCAGGTCATCTAGAGCCATATGCCTGACGGCTTGACCACAACAAAAGAACAGCCAGCAACAGCTCAACTCAAGCAACTGTTTTTTCTTCAGGCCAGCCAGAGAGCCACAGCACCCCAAGCTAGCTGGACGGCACATGATCCCCAGAAGGTAGGGCCTACAGCTTCTTCCAGCAGAGAGTAACTATATGAAGGCAGAGGCCTCACTCCCTCAGCACCCCATGGGGAGTGCTGTGGTTTGTGTCTCAGGGGAAAAGGAAGCAGGAGACTAGGGAGTTACCACTGGGGACCCATTAATTCCAAAACCCTGGGACCTGTTGCAGAGCAGTCCTCAAAGCCCGGAGCGTGGACCTCTCAGGAGAACTCCACCTGGTTCTCAACAGGCCCAGACCTGACGCCAGCCTGAGGAGTGGGTGCTGCGGAAAGGACAGGCACCACGACATTTTGCACTCTTCGTGCTGGCCCATCCTCAGTGTAGGGGGCACTTCTTTTCCTACTTTTACTTGGCCCAAACTCGCTCTGCAGAGCTTCTTTTCCTACATTTAATAAATGTAAAACTTGTTACTATTAATAAATAAATAAATGCTAAAACGGTAAATTTTTAAAATGTGAATGGCACAAAGGCTCCAACTAAAAAGAGAAGATTGTCTGCTTGCATTTAAAAAAGCAAGACCTAGCCAGAAAGAGAAAGAAAAACAAGAAGGGAGGGAGGGAGAAGGGGAAGGAGAGGGAGGTGGGTGATGGGGGGGGAGAAAGGGAGGAGGAAGGCGCAGCCCCTCATGCAGGGAGCCCAGTGGGCAGTGAGTCCTCAGCAGCAGCAGCAGCAGAGCTGGCTCTGTCCCCACAGTGCCTGTCACCCACAAGCCCTTCCCGGCTCCTGGGTGCTTACGTCCTCAGCGCTTGGGTCTGTGGCCAGCAGGCTCTGGGCAGTCACTGCCAGGGTCTGATCTGGGGCCGGTCTGCTGCAGCCGCCAGCAGAGAAAGAGCTCAAATGCTGCGTGAGGCGTGGGCTTTTCCTGGTGGAGCAGGGGCCCCACACCCATGACACCCTGTCTCTCTGGACTGCCCTTTGCCTCTGACTATGGACTTGGAGCTACATGGGAGGAAACACAGACAACGTCTGCACTTAAGTGTCACATATTCCTCTGAGTAGTTTACAATTATTTATTCATTTTTATTCACTTAGATGAGAAAACTGAGACCCAGCTAAGCCTCAAAGCCAGTGGCAGGGGCCTGGCTGAGAGTCTGAGCTCCTGCCCACCACACGGGCCGCCTGCTGAGCCTCCTGGGATCCGGAGGAGGAAGAGCAGGACCCTGGGCGTCCAATGCCACAGCAAAGAGCAAGCTGACCAGCAGTGAGCCTGCCCAGCTGCAGGGTGGGGGTGCTGGGCCTCTGCTGGGGTCTGCATGCACTGGATCATCTCCCCATAGCGATCCCATAGCTGGTTCAATAAAAACTCAAAACACACTGCAGTGACTTGCTCAATGCCCCAGACCCCTGCAGTGGTAGGACTAGGATCTGTACTAGGCCCATCTGAGCCAGAACTGCTTGAGGTCCCGGGAGATGCTGCAGCCCATTCCTGAGAGCCCCTGGGTACTGGGCATAGTGCTGGGCACTGAAGGGAGAGAGGGCAATGGCCCCACGGTTCTCAGCCTGGATAGAGGCCCTCGGGGTGTCAGGCTGCCCAGCTTTCAGGCTCTGGCAGGCAGCTTGAAGGCTGCTGTGGTCCAGGCTGCGGACCCGTCGCCATAGCAACTGCTGTGGAGTATTTCCAGCCTGGGTGTGCACTGGGGCCCACTTGGAAGCGGCTGCAGCTGTGGTTGGCTGGCTTTCCGGGTGTGGGAGCGGGAGAGGGAGCAGGCAGGTAGGCCACATGTACCCACACTCTCCCCAAAGCCTCTCACAGCCAGGAGTTCTGGGAAAAACAGTCCAGGAAGAAGCCCTGGGGAGAACTAAGGAGATGTGGGAGGCAAGACGCAGAAGATGAGCAGGGAGCACAAAGGACTGGACCATCCAGAGTGCTGCACAGGCTGGACGTGCCCTGGGAGCTGGCGTGGTGCCCCTGCTCGGTCACACCCCCACCCCAGGTCCTCACAAAGGAGGTAGATGGCCAGGACTATTGGCCCATCTTACAGATGAGGACACTGAGGGTGTACAGGGTCTGGGCCAGCAGATAGCACACCTGAGTGCCACTCCTCTTGCTGCTTCTCTGCTGTTGCCCCCACTCCTGAAAGCCGCCTGCTTCCTGTGTGGGGAAACACAGTCCCAGCTTCCCAATGGACTCTGCACACTTGCACACAGGATCCCTGCCTCTTTCCCTCGTCCCTCACCGAACACCTCCCTGTCCTGGGCTCTGGGCCAAAGGCCAAAAATACAAAGACAAAGTGGGGCTAGGAGGAGCCGGCACACAGTAGGGCCTCAACCAGTGTTTGCAGAGGGCTGAGTAGAAGCAGACCTGAGTGCAGAGTCCAGGTGCCCCACAGGCACGTGATCCCGAGAAGGCCTCCCTTCCTGAGGCACAACCGGCCTTCAGGCCCCCCAGCCTTGCCTGACCCCAGGACTCTGGACCTAGCCCTGCTGGGGCCTGATGTTGCAAAACACAGGACCTCGCTGCCACTGGCCCCCCAAAGAGCCCTGGGCTGGGGCAGAGGCAGGAGTGGGGACAGGGTGGCCCAGGCATAGTCTCTCAGACTCCGCTTGCCTCGGGCTCCCAGGCACTGTGCCAAGGTGGGCTCATAGCCAGTGAGAGGCCAGGCCGGGCCAATGAGACCCCGGAGCAGGGCCACTCCTCCCCAGAGAGCAGAAGCCTGGGTGCAGGCAGGGCCTGAGTGGCCAGGCAGGCCAGGCCAGGACACCGGAGCCAGGCCAGCACTGCCAGGCTGGAGGGCAGCTGGAGGGCAGAGACGTGCCCGCTCTCAGGGCAGCTGTACCAGGCCCCGGCCCAAGGCACAGCAGACCTGCAGGATCGGGTGATCCCCACCAAGGCCCCAGCACAGCGCCCACGAGCTGTGTCCCTGCTCACCAGAGTAATATCACTGACCTGTTGAATCAGAGCAGGTGAGCCCAGCTGCCCAGTCCCCAGCTGGGGCCAGGCATGGAGGGAAGGCCCGCCCAGGGTCACCTCATGTCAGGGGAGCCCGAGCTCCTGTGCACTTTGTTATCAGGCTTTACCTTGATTTCCATCCCCCACTCCTAACAGCTCGGTGTACCCCCTGCCCTGCCCTGCCCTGCCCTGCCCAGGACCTGCATGCTGGCTGGACACCCCACAACCTGTCCCCCGGCCTCCAGCCATTCCACCTCCTCCCAGCTCCATCCAGCACCGTAGGGTTGTTCCAAAACGAAAACCTACAAACTCAGTCACAGCCTCAACCACTTAGCACGTCCTGCCTTGCCCAAGGACCTAGTCAGGTCCCCCTTGGCCCTCCACCATGGGCTTCACTCTTTGCCCTGCCCTTAGGAACACACAGGTCTTTCTAACGAACAGTCCTCACCAGCACCTCCTCTGCTCAAGAGCCTTCAATGGCTCCCCACTGCCATTAGGTCCAGGCCCAGCCACAGCAGCTCCTGTCTCAAGCCCCATGTGTGCTCCCTCAGAACAACACTCTCACTCACCCTCTCTGCCTCTGCCACGTGGATGCTGCTCCTCCCAGAATCCTTCTGTCTTACCTGCCCCAGGAACCCCCGCTCCTCCCTTTCACCTTCCTACTCCACCTTTCCCAAGGAAGCTTGGGGCTCCCCAAGGTCCTGCAGCCTCACTGTCCCCATGAAAGCACCGACTGAGCTGCACTACCCCGACAGCCCCAACAAGATAGGGCCCGCCCTCGGCAGACAGAAAGCAGACACTGAAGGCGGAGGGGACAGCAGCGGCCGGGGGAGCATGAATGCGGGAAAGGGAGCAATATCCTGCAGGGCTGGAGACTGAGGGGCAGCATCAGGGCTTGGGGGCCAGCCAGGGAGTCCCCAGAAGCTGGGAGCCTCCTGGAGAAAGGTGTGTTCCGCAGTGATGGCCAGCAGAGACCCCACAGAGCCTGCGGGCCCAGTGCCAGGGAGACCCACCTGCCCTGCAGGGAGTGGCAGCTGGACTGGCCCTGAAATCGCGGCCACAACGCAGGCTGTGCAGGGGCTGGTGTCAGTCTGGCTTGGGTTCAAGTCTATTTCCAAGTCACAGTCCCAGGAAAGCCGTTAAAAATCTCCATGGGCCTCAGTTTCCTCAGCCGTAAAAATGGGATAATAACAGTTACCCCAGTGTGTGCTTTTGGGGATGAAACTAATATCAAGCATGCAACGCCTCTGGCGTGTAACTCGTTTACCCTGTGGTTGGCCTTCGCGGCGTGCCCGCTGTTAGCGTTATACACCTGAGTGCGGGCTTTCCACCACAGCGCAGCTGGGAGAGACCTACACACAGCCTAACCACCCATGAGCTCGCTGACTGAGTGGTTCTACGAGAACTCAGAAACCCAGCAACTGACTGCATGGCAAGTCTGCAACCCCAAAGCAGAAGGCTGCAAAGCTGGAGCTGCTCCTCCCACCCCATCCTCCCAAGTCTTGGGGGAAGGGGCCGGAAGACATTCCCACGAGGGGCGGAGCCGCCACCAGCCAGGCCCCGTGAAAGGCCCATTGTCTGAGCCATCCCAGCCCCAGGAGTGTGGGGAGCCCAGCCAGGGGAACTGGAGGGCCCGCCTCCTCCCCAGCCTCCCACAGAGACCCATGCCACCAAGGACAGCCTCTCCCATGGCCCAGGCAGGGCATCTGTCAATGTTCCAATGCTCTCCTTCCTGTCGGTTCCCTACCTGCTTCCCAAAAAAGGCTCTACACAGGACGGACACCCACGGGGAGCAGAAATGTAAACAAGTCAAGCTGAGGAACCAAATAAGGGAGGAGAGAATTATGGCAGGAATGCAGGTCCCACCGCAGAGAACTGCACTTGGCATTGAGGTTCCTAGTACATGAGGCAAACAAGGGCAGCAGTAGATGCCAAACTCCCAGCTAAAAGGGAGTGTTCATCCTCGAAGCAAGCCATCCCAAGAGGTGGGGGGGAAAACTTCCGGAGGAAGCGGTCCTACAGGCTTCTAATAGTCTATAACACAGGCTGACATCTTCATTCTAGAAGACAAGTGATCCCCAGCACCCTATCAGAAATCCAAATTTTACTTCCCGGTATGCAGTGTGTTGGCACATGACACTTTTAGAGACTGGAAGTGTAGCGACTGAACCAATGTCCTTCATTCGGGGCCTTCTGCATACATCCACTTGGTGAACACTCACCCGACACTTAAGATCCTCTGCTGGGGGCTGCCAGACGCAGGTCCACGGGCATCCTTACACCTTCCTTGCAAGGTGCTGGTATCCGGCTCATTTCACGGATGAGGAACCTGAGGCTAGGAGGGGGTGCACTGCCTCTGCGCAGCTGGGAAGCAGGAGCATTTGCAACCCGCCAGCCCAGGTCCCAGTTCACATCTCCACAGTATTTCTGCATGCCAGTGTGTGTGTATATGTGTGTGTGTGTGTGTGTGTGTGTGTGTGTGTGTGTGTGTAAGATATTCTTCCCCTCTGAGCCTCAGATGAGAAAAGCAAAAGACCCCAAGCCACACAGCCAGTCAGTGACCAAAGAAGGAGCAGAGCCCAGACCCCAATTCAACGAGTGGTGGGGGGGGGCAGGATGACAGAGGCCAAGTGGCTAGGCTAATGTGAGGGTTGTAAACTGAGGCAAACACACTAGGATGGCTAAAGCCAGAGTCACAGGAAATAATACCTCCAGGCTAGGACTCCCGTGACCCCAGGAGGAATGTAAAGGTCGCGCCACTGTGAAAACAGTGTCGCATATCCTGTGACCAGCAACACCACCGCTAGGCACACCCCCCGCAACTCTGAACATTTTCCAAGAAATTGAAAACAGGTACTCAAACACACAGACACACATTCACAGCAGCCACAATCGCAGTAGTCAAAGGTGGAAACAGGTTGGGCATGATGGCGCATGCCCAAAATCCCAGCACTCAGAGGCTGAGGCAGGAGGATCTCTCAGCCCAGCCTGGAATATTACACCATGTAGTAAAAAAACAGATAAAGCATGATTCCATTTCTATGAAATATCCAGAGCAGATTAATCCATAGAGGTAAAAAGCAGACTGATAGGGCTGGAAAGACGGGAACATGGAAAAACTGTTCATCAAGGTTTTTACTTGGGAATAGTAGAAATGTTCTGGAACTAGACAGATGAGAGGCTGCACAATACTACAAATGCACTACAAATGTATTGAATAGCAGCAAACTGCATGCTTTAAAATAGTTAATTCTATTTTATGTGGATTTTACCTCGATAATTTTTTTTTTTTTTTTTTTTTTTTTGAGGCAAGGTCTTGTTATATAACCCAGGCTGGCCTTGAACTCACAGCGATCATCTTGCCTCAGTCTCCTAAGTGTTGGGGTCACGGGTGTGCGTAACCACACTCAGCTAATTTTTTAAAATTCTTTTTTTGAGACAGGATCTTGCTATGCAGTTCAGGCTGGCCTTGCGCTCACTTTGTAGCCCAGGCTGGTCTCAAACTTACAACAATCCTCCTGCCTCAGCCTCCCAAATGCTGGGATTACAGGCGTGCGCCACCAAGCCTGGCTCTAAATTCTTGAAAGAAAACATTTTAGACAAATAGGTCAGTCTGCTACTTTGCATTAATTAAAATTTAAACGCCAGCTATATTTTTATGAAAAAAAAGATGGTAAGAAGGGCCAAACCCCTCCTGTAATCTCAGTACTCAAGAGGCTGAAGCGGAGGATCACTACAAGTGTGAGGCCAGCCTGGGCTACACAGTGAGTTCAAGGCCAGCTTGGACTATATAGTGAGATCCTGCCTCAAAAAAGCAAAAACAAACAAAAAGATGGTGTTATGATTTGTGTCTAGATGTCCCCTAAAGCCTCATGCAGTCATGGGGCGGGCTTCTAGAGTTTATGATTAACTCATGGTCCAGTGCTGGGATTATGGGTGTCAGTGCTACACCTGCCCTTGGGCTGGTAGTTTGCATACAGTGTAAAGGAGGGAAAGAGGTTTGCTCTCTGCCACTCCTCCCTTTTTGCTGTTGCTGCTTTTGCTATTTTCTGTTTTTAGGGCGGCAAATGCCTCCCTAAATAGTTGCCTTCTGCCATGAGCCACTCTGCTTTGGAGCCAGCCAACCATGAGCTAAATAAACCCTTCTTTCCCTAATTTTGGGTGTCGAGTATTTTGTTCCAGCAACAAAAGAAAAGTAACCAAGACAGACAGGCAGAGCAGAAAGCAGGGTATCCAGGGTGGAGCCTGGCACACAGTAGGAGCTTTGGAAAGGTGGGTTTCTTAGCTCTCTGGCCTTAGTTTCAGGAGATGGGCAGATCTGCCAAGTGGGGCATCTCACTAGACGGGCTCTTTCCAACCATGAAAGGCCTGGCTTACAGGACGTTCTCTGGCCCTGGTACCCCAGGACCCAGGAGCAGGGTCCGGTGTGCCGTGGACCAAATGCACACATTTGTTCCACGGGTCCCCAATGGCCACCCATACCCCACATGGGCAGGCAGAATGCAGGCCACAAGGCCCCACTCCCATTCCTGCCCCTTCACCCCATTCTCAAACATGCAGTCACAACATCACCTACCTCCCTCCACCCCCACAAAAGCAAAAATAACCTTGTCTGAAATCTGACACCCACTTTGATGGGTCCACCAGGAGCTGGCCAGGGCATAGCAGGGAGAGGGCGGCTTCCAAACGCCATCCCACCACACCTCCTCTGACCGAGGAGCCAGGGTTTGAGGTGCTCACAGGGCACCCAAGCTCACAGAGGTCCCAGGCCTGCCCACAGTGCCCTGCTCTGGACTGCGAGCCAGGACTCAGGTGCAGGCCTCCTGCTTCCATCTGCTCTGCAGCCCTTTTCTTGGCACCCTGAGTGAGAAAGCCTTGCACTTTACACACCCGTTTGGTTGTATGGATAGGGAAACTGAGGCACGGGGGAGCTCCCTGTCCACTATGTGAAGCAAATGGGCTTACAGCCAGGCAGTGCCTGGGCCAGTTATCTAGAAGTTGTTCTGTGCCGGGGAGGAACAGGGTGAGCAGCCCTGTCTCCACCCACGGTGGTTTGAGGACCAAAGCCGATCCCCCAAACCTAAGGCAGTTGGCAGTAGCTGCGGGAGCATCACTTCCAGGTGCTGCGGAGCACACAGCAGTGGGTTGGACGGGGACTTCTCTTTCCTAGACCACCACAGGCCCCACCACCTGACCCACCCCTTGGGAAATGCGTGTGTGGAGTCCTGGCTGCCTCTGACCCCGGCTCAGGCCTCCGGCGCTCAGTTATCACCCCTTCCACACCACGCCCACCATGCGCCTGCTTCCTCGCCAGTAAAATGAGAATCCCAAGGACTTAGCAGGGTTGTCCAGAGGTGCAAATGGGGGAACAGAGCCAAAGGGCCTCGCCAAGCCTCTAGGCACTGCCTCTGCCCTTCTATGAGAGCCAGGGAGTCGGCCCTGCTTGGTCTGGGAGCCTCACAAAGCCAGGGTTAGATACACAGGGCGACGGGCATGGGACAAGGGGCTGCCCATCAGCAGGGACCCCACCCAAGGCCAGCAGGCCAGGGCCAAGACTGCCTCAGCCTCTGCCCTCACCCCCCGACCCCACTCCTCTGTGTCACGTGACCACTATGCCCAAAGCTGTAGAGAATGGCAAGGGTTTAACCTCCCTGGGCTCAGCTTCCTCAGTCCATAAAATCAGAAGGTAAAACGTCTTCACCTGACACGCGCAGATGAGACGGAGACCCGGCGCCTCCTCCAGGACTGAATACGTCACCCCGTGGCGGCGAACCTACAGCGTGAGTGCCATCACTGACGTAATATGTGCTGGCCCTGGGCTGAGCAGCTACCGGCATCTTTCCCTGCTCATCTCCACGCAGCCTTACCAGCTGGAGCGTGTCATGGTTTCCATTCTACGGACGGGAAGCAGAGGCTCGGGACGGTAAGTTTTGCACACATGAAATCATAGCTGTACAGCGCAGAGAGGAGACTTAGCGCTGCGTCACCTGAGGCTGAGGCTGCCCGGCCACTTTCCTCCAACTTCCTCCCTCCGCTGCGGCAGAACAGCCACAGCCGCCTCCTGGGCACATGTGACAGCCACGGTCACTGTCACGCCAGGCCGCACTCGCTCCCGGAGCTGGGGCTCACAGATGCCCCCCCGTCCATCCTTGTGTGCTCAGCAGGACCTACGCCCTTTCTGGGGCACTGTCCTACTGCCACCACCGCTGAGAAAGCTATGCACTCTCCACGAGCCAAATACTGTTCTTTGTCAATCCTCAGCTCTCAGAAGTGGGAGAACAACTCAGGGTCAGCCAGACAGCCCAGCAATCCCATCTACCACAGCATGCACTTCCTTGCTCCCAGAGATGGAAGGCTCACTCCCTTCCGACCCACACCCTCCTACTGAGGAGCAAGTCTGCCTGCCCCAGTTCTTCCAGCCCCCTCCACACCCCTCCTCCTGGAGGCCTCCTCCTGGGTCTGCCACCTCCTGCCCCGTATGCCCTGCAGGCCCAGGAAGAGGCCTGGAGGGTTGGAACCCAGGCATCCTCGCGTACAGCTGACTGCCACCCAGCCTGGAACCCACATTCACAGGCAATCAGCCCACACTGAGCCCTAGCAGCAAGGTGGCCACTCAAGGCCCTGAAGGACAGACCTGGCATCCTGCTCAGAGCCTTCAGAACCTCCCCTCCCCAAGACTCAAGGCCCTGCCTCTGGGTCACCATGGCAACAGGCCCCAGGCAATGGGCCCAGGCCCTGTATTCAGCAAGCTACCTCCTTCCCCTGGAGCTTGGGCAGGAGGATGAGGGAGAGAAAGAGAGAGAGAACAAGAGGATGGGAGGAGAGGAGAGCAGTTACCAAGAGAGAAAGAAGCAAGAGTCAGGGAGAGAGAAAGGAAAGAGAGCAGGGAAAGGAAGAATAGAAAAAAGGTGAGGTCAGAGAGAGGAAAGCATAGGCTGGTAAGGAGCACAGCAAGCAGAAGAGAGGACGCACACAGAGGCAGAAGTGTGGGAGACAGAAAAGGGGCTCCCTCCAAGCCCCCCCCCCGAACACACATGTGCACGCACGCACGCGCGCGCACGCACACACACACGCACCCACGCACGCACATGCTCCTCCAGCTTGAGCCACTCGCAGCCAGCAGGGGGATTCTGACCATTGCTGGCACTTCCTGCCCCAGGAAGCTGGCAGCCTGCTGCTTCTCCAGGCCCCCTCTGTTCAGGGACAGCGTAGCCTTCCCCAGGCTCCCAGGCAGTGCCTCCCCACTCCCAGGCAGAACTCTCCCCGAAACCCCAATGCCCGAAGGCCTCCCTAAGCTCTCCTGCCCCTCAGCCTCCCGCCTTCCTGCCCTACCCAGCTTCCCTTCAACACAAACAACAACCTCTTATTTCTCCCCGAAGCGTTTGAGGAGCCGTTCCTAAGCACAGCAGAGAGGACAAGGAGGGCCTGTGATTTATCTCAAGGCACGGGAGGTGAGCAGGTCTCAGAATAAGGCTTAGCAAGGGGACTCCAGCCCCAAACTGGCCGATACAGAGGTTGGAGAGGCACAGCTGGGCCTGGCCAGCCAAACGTGCTTTACCACAGGCACCGTGTACCACAGGCTATACTCACCCCAAGCTTCTGGCTACAAAATCGCCTGGCCTAGCCTAGCCCCACCACACCCCTGTCTTTTATGCACTGTCTCAGAGGAATTTGAGCCCACATGAAAGGTTTGAAGAAGAAAAATGAGGGTGGAGAAAGAGACGAAAGAAAAACACGGGAAGGCCCAGCAGGCCTCAGACTGTATCCTGTCTGACCCGGCCTCTGTCCGGCTAGACAACCCAAAGCCATTACTCAAGTCCTTCTAAACCTCACTTTGCACACCCAGAAAATGGGGACAGGAACATCACAGACAGGATTCAGTGAGGCTGTGCTCAGATCAGACCCAGTGCCACAGCTCTGCGTTCTTAAAAAGCCAGGTGTCACAACCATTCCAGCCAGTGGGTCTACACTGGCCCCAGGGCAAGAGACATCACTAAGACTGCAGAGTGGAGCGGGTGAGACCGGCCTGCCAGCCCCAGCTGTGACAACGACTTTCACGCTCCCTCCCCACCGCACAAGTTGGACTCCAAATCTGTCTACACCATGGCTTCATTTCAACCAAGAATCAAGGCTCTCCGTGAGGTCGCCCCTCCCATGGGTGTCCACACGTCAGGAAGGGAATGGTTCCTTGGACTCTAAGGTGGTGATCACCAGTAAAAATGAGGAGTCACTGAGAACAAGGCA